ACATTTAAATTTTTCAGGCAAGCATTAAATACATATTTCGGCAACTAAGAAAATATACAGTATGATGCAAATGTATGGAATAAATCGGAATAAATTCATTATTTCAGAAATGGGCGACATTTGAAGAAATTCCAAAAACACGTGAGTTTTAATTTTTGAAACCACATCCCATGACATTCATATGAGAGATATGTTACGTCACCGGTGTTGGAGTAATGACGTAATGGACGGTTTTTTTAAATACAAACAGGGGTCATGTGACACCTCGTTCGAAAGGTCTACTGATCGTCTATCCAATAGTCAAAATTTTGCAAAAGAAGATTGAAATTAAAATGGATTATCATTTGGTTAACTGAATCTTGCAGAGATCTCCTACTGAGAATTGAACATCGAAGGGTCGTCTAGTTGAAAAAATACATCGATAAAAAAGTTCTGAACTCTACTTTATGGATTTTTTTCGGAAGTCGTCTTGTTTTGAAATGAATTTATTCCATACATTTGCATCATACTGTATGTTTAAAGATCATAATAATAGATGGAATAAAAAGGAAATGAATGAATGTTTTCTTGAATTTCCCTGTTATTCTCTAATCTCATCTATAGAAGGCTCCTTTCGGAAAATATCTCGGAAAATATCCAAAAATAAATAATGAAGCACTGATAATAATTATTCGTTGAATGCAATGCACACACAATAAAAAACAACGTCGCAGGTAAATTAAAGATTGCAAGATCGCGAGCCGTTTGAGTTGATTGAAGTCAAGGAGGCAATAAATTCAAATTATACCCTCGACTTTCACTACCTGTGCCCTGTGCAGTGTGCACACTCCCTATGACAAAGGATGAAAGTTTTCACCTTGTTCCGGAAAAAAATACTATAGCATGAAATTTGAAATATTTCTGAGAAATTTTCTATTTTATTGTAGGTTCACCCGTCCTATCTAATCGGTTAGATAGGGTAACCTGGTAACCTACTTCTGGGGTTACTGAGGGGGGTATCTATTTATAATAAATGTTAGGAACTCGAAATCTTCGATAGTCTAATAGGTATAGGTAAGTACAGGGTGATTCACCATAAATGTCCCCCTATCTAGCTCGGTTATTTTTTAATCAATCGCAAAATTTGAGGCATCAATTAAAATAATTTATGATATCTATTTATAATAAATATTAGGATCTCGGAATCTTCGATAGTCTAATAGGTATAGGTAAGTACTTATATACTCATCTCTTATCTTGTTTTATGCACCTACAAACATTCTAGAAACTTCATTATTGTGTCTATAACTTATTAACTTGATGATACCCAATGCCTCACCCAGTGGCGTATTTGCCAGCCATTCTCGTTCTAGTCTGTTCTAGATGACAACGCAGTTAGGTAGTTAGTAGGCAAGAGCTATACAGGGTGTTTCAAAAAAACCTAACCCCCTTTGCTAGGGTAGGTAGAACGTTGCAAAATAAGTTGGGTTTGCTCAGTAAAAAAATGTCGTAATGCCATCCGTTTTCAAGATACAAAGGTGTTGAAACAATATTTTTTTTACACATTTTTTACGATTATGTTGAAACTACTGGCAAAATTGTGATGAAATGTTGTATGGATGTTTCTTGGAATCTGACACATCGCATGCATTTGTTTTTATATCTGACTCTCATAGAGGGCGCTAGTTACACGGTTCGAACCGAGTAGTTTTGAACATAACTTACTTGAGGTTAGATTTTTCAATCCAAATTTGATGTGAACTTGAACATCATTCAATCTCAAACCAAAAAGGTACTCTTGGTAAAACTTGATACTGTGTTCCGTTTTCGGAATATTTCGATTTGAAAATGATGAAGTGGTAACTGTTGCTGGTATAAAGCTATGTATTAGAGTGAGTATTATGAAAAATTATCACCTATTTATTGAAAACCGAGAACAACAATACATTTCTGATGCAAAACTCATTGATTTAACAATGAATCACAAGAATAACATCGAAACAGATTTGACTAAGAACATGGAGTTTTGTTGTATCTTGAGCAGAAAGTCTATGCTACATAGGTGAATTCACGTCAAGAGTTGTGAGACATAATTGAACATCACTCAAATGACCTAACAGCTGATCCTCAACTGTTCAGAAGAATAATACATTCTTAAAAAAAGAATATAGAATCGTGTATTCCTCGAAACGTAGGACATTTTGAACACTTACTCTAACTGATTCAATATTTCATGTTTCTAGTCAAATATCCTCGCAAATATCTCTTGATTTTCTACTTATGATCCTTTGTTCCATCAATAACTTCAGCACAAGAATAATTTTATTGTTTTTGAACCTGAATAAATGGGCAATTGAACTTAATAAAATTCATTTTATACCAGCATCATTACTACTCCATTATTTTCAAATCGAAATATTCCGAAAACGGAACATAGGTGTAAAATTGAATGATGTTCAAGTTCATATCATATTTGGATTGAAAAATCTAACCTCAAATAAGTTATGTTCAAAACTACTCGGTTCGAACCGTGTAACTAGCGCCATCTATGAGAGTCAGATATAAAAACAAATTCATGCGATGTGTCAGATTTCAAGAAACATCCATACAAAATTTCATTACAATGTTGCCAGAAGTTTCGGAATAATCGTGAAAAATCTTGAAAAAACTATTTGTTTACCGTGTATCATGAAAACGGATGCCGTTACGACATTTTTTCACTGAGCAAACCCAACTTATTTTGCAATGTTCTACCTACCCTAGCAAGGGGGTTAGGTTTTTTTGAAACACCCTGTATATTGTACCTCCTGACGTACTACGTCGTCTACTAGGTTTCCATTTAGATCGACAATGGCCCAGCCGTTGAACGTTTTTTACTCGGTTGTTTCAGCGTTATTGCCAAATTTAACGAAAACAGTTCAGAAATTTAGTTGACAATAACGGCTGCTGGTGTATCAGAGATAATTGCACATTTGAATAAAACTTTCAAGATGGTTTTTGTTTTTTTAGTCAACTACATGTTTAATCACATACAGGATACAAGATAACATGTAGGTACTAAATATTTAACAATGGCCACGTTTATACCGTGTCTTGGTAAGCTGACTGATAACTATATTTTGACTAAATACTCTTGGTAAGTTTGGTATAAACTGTATATGGTAAAGTTACTAGCTTGGTTTGGTACCGTTTGTTGCATACCAGACTAAAATAGTATGATGACCAAGACCGTGTAAACATTTTGGTCTACTCTTGAATAGCCTATTTTATTCAATTTCAGCTGATTTCGAATCCTTAATTCACGAATTCAAGTGGGCTTCCACAGCCTAACCTCAAAAAAATAATCATATCAAAACAAAGTTGGTAACATTAGTCAACTGAAGATACGTGCTGTAAACATTCTGAATTTAGTTAGATCTCCTTGGTAAGCATAACAACTACCCATACCGACCCATACGGTATAAACGTTTCCAATGTGTCCCAAATCTCGTCTGCACATAAGTGCAGCAATATATTTAACCCTTAACTACTAATCATACGTCTCAGAGACGGCATATCAGCATCCGATTTGTTGGATTACCCCTGCTTTTCAATATCGACCATTGTCCTACCACGTAATTTATGTCCACCCAGCACTCATTCAGTACCCTGAAGTTGATCTTTGTATGTGGATCAGTTTTAGAAATATCTTGAGTGAAAGATAGATTGCCGTCTCGTAGACGTATAGTTAGTTATTACGTACATGTTCATGACTAAGTTCTGTGTCATATTTTATTACGACTATAACTGTATTCAGAATGACAATAGTATTTCTATAGATCAATGTCAAAGTTTTGAACATTAGGTACTCCTCTATGAAATTTTGATCCCCACTGAAATTTGTATTTCTATTTCAATTTTGAACATCATTTTCTCTTCGCCAAATATGCAGAGAACGTGTTAGAATAGCTCACTAAAAAAAATGACAACGTTATATATTTGGAACGTTAGTAGTTAAGGGTTAATTAGTTCTTGGCAATCCAAATTTTTGTCACGATTGGCAGCCCCAATACTGTGCCTTATACGCCACGGATGATACATACATGAAGATACCTAGGAAGAAAAGAACAATCTACTGGGGTATTTATGCACGAAACTTCAACAACTTGTATCTTGAAAACGAACCACTCTCGGACATATGCATCTACACGAACATCTACATGAGTTTTTTCCTCATTTTGATGAAAGAGATATTCCATAGGTATATTTATCACGTGAATCCAGCCACACCCTGTACAACAATTATAATTATTAACATTACCTATATCATTGTTAGCTTCGGCGAATTGTTGGGTACCTATTCTGTGCCTACGACATATTTCATAGAGGAATATCGCAGTTTGTGTCGGTGTGGTTCATAGACAATTTCCACGCAATATTATATTTATAGATTCAATTGATATTCACAGTCACGATATTTTACCATTTTACCTAGGCAATTTGTATTTGAAAATGCATGCACAGGATTGATTGCCTTTTAAAGGTGTTCATAACAAGTAGGTATATGGTTTGGCATACCAATTGTGATCAAGAAGGTTCAACTAAACTATTGTTCCACTATTTGTATGGCAGAATTCATATAGGTACCCCGCGGACAAAAAAACACAGCTGTTCCGGGGCATGAAGAATAGGGGGTCCCAGGGCCCAATGTAGTTTGTGAAAAAATAAAAATAGGGATCTGGGGGGGGGCAACATGGAAATCAGTGTTAAGGGTCCTAATATTTCTGTAGCCGGACCTGCCCTCATCAAAAAGTACTATTTATGTGATCGTGATCATGTCTATAATAGGTAGGTACTTATACTTTTATCTCGATTTCTATACCTATTATATTTTCTATCAAATTGCCAACAAAATAATTTAGATCAGTAAACGTATTTTTGTTTTCATTTCAATAAACATAATATTATTACCTACCTCGATTATTACCTATATGAAGGTCAATCGATTTGCAAAGAATTAGTTATTGTAAAAGATTATTTACCTGATGTGGAAACTTTAGTCCTACCTAGGTATATCTTTCACTTGCACTATTACCTAAATATTCAACGAATAGTAGGTATTATTGGGTTATCAGGTTATCAAGCACTAATTACACAATTCCATTTCCAAGTCAAGATGACCGCTCGAGGAGAGGAATACTACTTGGCTACTAACAATACTAACACTTCAACAATCTAACAAACGAACAGACTGAGGTTTGTTTACCGTAAAATAGTATATTTGCACTGTGGCGCTAGACGGGCGAATTAAATCAACATACTGTTCTGTTGCCACGACGTCACGACTTCTGAAATACAGGAATACAGCTAACCACGCCAGTGGCCAGTGACACACCAAACACCACAAGCACAGTAGAGTACCATATGACGGCAGTACCAAGCACAATGAGCACACACCAAGCACAATGAGCACACACCAAGCACACCACCAACACAACACACAATTACTCAACAAGGGTGTTCATGAAAATGCCTGTCGTGGACTCACATGTATAATCCTTGGTCGACTCTGACACCAACGTGTAGGTACCTATTTAGACAACCAATGATACAAGCTTTGGAATACTCCTGGACCTGCTTGTCTTTCAGGTTCAATTTTTAGAGATATAGGCACTGCATTGTGCATTTGATATTCATATTATGTAACACTACTGCGTTGTTGTCTAACCTATTCCTATTATTCCTTGGTTTAGTTTTGTGCAATGAACTCAATATTATATTGAGTTCATTGGTTTTGTGTTACACTTTCAGGCATAGACAAGTAGACAACTAAGTTACACTCTGATCTGGAATGAAGATCACATCATGGAACAAACAAACAGTCAACAAGTCGAAGAAAAGCATGCTTTGCTCAAGACTGCTAACGGCTTTTTTCAATGCTCCCATTTTTATTTGGTGTCTTGAAATGGTGTTTTCCTCATTTTTACATCAGTGTGAGGTACGTAGATGATTATAATAATCCTTTACTAAGTAACAAACTATAATGTCACAAATTTTATGTCTGAAAGATGAAAAACTCCAGGAAATATACCGACAAAGTTTCCTGGAACCTTCGAGAATTTTCTGAACTTATATAATAGGTACATCTGAGATGCTTATAACTTCATCATATCATAATATATCATAAAGTTGAGGAGGTACCATTGGTACCTATAAAGTATCGGTACCTAGTTAGGTAGGTACTATGGCCTTGATTATATACACTTTGTGAATTCTCAATGGTACTGTACTAGTGATTGTCTGTTCCTCTTCCTACGCCTGCCTACCTTTACCTACCTATACCTGCCTCTAGCTACCTATAATCTATAATATACCTACCTGTACAGGGTATGTCACGACGATGCATGCTTATATTTTACAATACGTTCTCTTCATTTAAAATAATTTCAGCAATGCAGTGTTGCCGCTCCTATCAAAAAGTAGCAACAACTTTCAAATAGAATACAGTTTCACTGGTACCATCCCCTCAATGATTGCACCCTATTTCATTTCGAAGGATTATAACCATTGCAAAATTCGAGGCAAAATTCTATTTCAATCGATCTGAGGGTAGATAAATACAGAATTTGAAATCTTACTCATGAACTGGACTATATGACTAATGTCACATATTGTTTTTCTTCCTTATTGTTATTACTTTATAATGTTCTCTTTATGGGTTATCTCATAAAGGACAACAATTGACATCATTATAAATGTACCTTTGTTTTGATATGGTGTATATAGATAATACAGGTTTTACACGATGTGTGTGGGCCCTCTCATGAAACCCAATAACTTATGTTATGGAAAACTTTACATGACCGTATGTCCTATAGAAGTCTTAACTTTTGAGATACAGGATGATGAAGTTTTGAAAAATATTCAGTATTTTGATGATAACCAAGACAATATTGTATCTATCTTTCTGAAATTTGGTACACGTCTTTTATGCATCAAGGTGCATTTTCTTATGTACAAACTTCATTTTCTCTACCAGAGGCACCGTTACGGGAAAATTATTGTTTATATTTAAATTAAAAATAAACAACGATGAAAAATTTTCAAATTTCATATGATTCTATGGAATGGAATGGAATGCATACTTCAAATTTTGATTTTTGAGTACTCCATTCAGAACATCCATTACTGGATAACCACCGCATGTAACATTTTGAAATTCGTATACGGATTTAGTCACATAGCAGACTGAATTTTGCCATCACTAAAAGCTATACAGGGTGGACAAAAGAATAATCTATGCATATTTTCAACATTGACACCCTGTATCTCAAAAGTTAGGACGTTTACGACATATGTTCATATGAAGTTATATTCTTGAAATGGGTCGACGAATCGGCCCCTTTAATATTAGCATATCATTAAGGAACACCCTGTATATTGTACTGCAAATTATTTGTGAATAAAAAAGAGATTTCATAATTTCTTTGGAATTTTTCCAAGATGTTTGACAGATTTCAGATGTACAAAATGAGTTGAAGCACTTAATTTTACATTAGCAACTAAGTATAATATTTCAATGAAACAAAAACTTACAATTATGGCGATTCCAACCATGGTTAACACAATATATACCATGGATATGTGTCGAAAACATTTACATAAGCAATCGAAGGAAAGAGAAGCCCGGGAATACTGCCCACATTCGACGTGTTTTCATTTTCAGTATTTCAGTGACGTCTCGACCTTAGGCGGCGTCGCGACGCTGACGCCGACGCTCCAGGCTCCAGGCCGTTTTGCCGCACCGCTCGATACAGGGTGGCGCTTGACAAAGGCGGAGCACTGGGCGGGGATAGGGCAACATAAATTATCGTAAAAAATTCTCTCTTTTTCGATAACCTGATGTATTTTCCGGAAGGATTAATCTTTTTGTAACAGTAAAACGGGGTGAATAGAAACTTGGGGGCGAATATAGAATAACCAAGTACCCAAGTAGCAAAATACATACAATGTGTCCCGCTTTTCATGAATACACCCTGATATCTCAGTTATCAATGATGCTATTCTCTTGAAATTTTAGTGATGCTTGTATTTAGTATTTATGTTGAGGGATACAAAAAGGCCATTATTCGGAAAAAGGATATTAGGGCTTATTTTGAATAACTGTTTTTATCAGATTCAGAATCAGCTTTCCCAAAAAGCCCCCGATTCGTATTTTCAAAATCTCAAGAAAAAATCAAAATTAGCTCACTTATTTTTCAACCGATTTCAAAATTTGAATGTTAGAAACTGGATATTACACCGCACCACCCTATACGTCGATACCTTCTGATTCTATTAGTAAGACATGACTCAGATGGTTACGTTACATGATGAATAAGAAGACAGTTGGAGAATATAGATTATTAATCGTTTATCTTTTGTAGAGCACACATCGTGATGAATATAAATTGTTGAAATTTGAATAGTGTTTCAATAACCATAATCCAATACACAGGTGAGAAATTTCACATTTTGTCAGGTTAGGTCAGTCACAATATGATGCATTGGTAGTCCATCTCGGGAATTTTAAGAAATTTTTGACTAATTCTCATTTGGATGTAAAATGAGGAATAATGCACCAACTCATATTGAAAATTGTTGTCCATACAATACAAGATATTCAGAAACGGCATTCTTTATGTTCATTATCCATATCGGACTCCAATCTCGAAGTGTTCGTGAGTTTTTTGATCTCTTTCGACAACCTTCAGGAGTGAGGAAAAAAACTCAAGATTCGTTTCTGCAGGTGTTCAAAAGAATAAACAACAATAGTAGATACCGGGATAAAAACATCTACTACCAGTACTACCCTGGCAAACATCACCAGAATTATTTCTCATCAAAATTGTTTTTCAATTAAGTACTGGAAACTTCTCGATATATTACGACTGAAATATAGAAAACGATCTACTCTAACATAGAAGCAGGTGATTCATATATCAGCAACATGAATAGTATATTACACACCAAGGTGGGAAGTGATTCATTCCTGGCGTGAGATTAGTTAGTTAACCGAGACGCAAAGCGTCGAGGTTAGATATAATCTACCAGCTAGAGTATATATGATCCATGGTGAAGCGGACACCCTGTTTACTGTATATTTTGTTAGTCTTTCAAGTCTTCAATGGAAATATCTCAGTAACAGTAATATATTCTATAAGTAATATTTTCGTTTCGAAGCAGTAGGTATTTAATCTGAGTGGGTAATCGCACTTTCATTATATTCAATATATGGAAAACCAGGAGCTGAAAATTCTTCATCTCATTGAGGTATTAATACTCAGAATATTGATGAAAAAAAAATCTGACCTTAACGGTGAAAATCTAAAATTAGAGGGTGATGGAAAAAACAGTGAATTTTTAATATTTTTTTGTAGTTGGCAATTTTTTCAATCAATAAAACACTCTGTATACCATGAAATGCATCATAATGTGTCCTCAAAAATTATAATCAATAGCCTAAATCAACCCAGTAATACGAGGTATGGCTCATTAAACTTCATTTTCGAAACATCCGCATTCACGAAACACCATGTATAATCAATACATATAATGAATCAATTTCATGTAAGAAGATCATATCGAATGATAATTCTGATTTTTTAATTTTTATCAAGTTGTAGTATCGATATTTCGAAATTGAAAATTACACAATAATTCAGATGTGAATCACCCTGTGATAAAGATCAGCTTTGGTTGATTCTGTACATGGTTGTTGTACCTATAGGTTGAACTGAAAAACTGCTAGCAGAAAATTCTGATTCATTCGTCTCTTCTTGGAGATATGGGTAGATGAAAAGGGGGAATTTCTCAACTACAACACCCTGTATCTCAAAAACTGGTCATAGGATCGGATTGGGACTCGGCATATCTGATCATTAGGTCGAGTTCTATAATATACTAGAAATTCAGAGAATTCGACAGAACGCCATTTTTATATAGAAAAAGTGCGGGGTCCTTTCGAATTGTAATCGAGATATCATTATAATTATAAGAGAGATGTATAGAAATTTAACTGGTGGGCTCACTCTTCAATTGTTTCGTCAGACTAACTCTCGATATGGAACAATTGCAAGCGAGTTTTGGACGTGGGGTTCAGGTATTGGCGATAGAGGCGCCATAATCGGAAAATCGTTCAAAAACTAGGTTCGGTGAGGGATGAATCTATTTCCATCATTGTTCTGTGGTCGAATGAATACTGTGCTCAACATTTTCATTCATGACATGAACCTATTTAAAGCATGAAATCTGATGAATTTCCTCTTTGAAGAACCAGAACAAAGAATGTATCAACTACTGAAATAGAACAATATCGAAAATCATAATAGGCAGATATGGTATACCATTATAACACCAGTTCACGCTAATATTTCGAATCACTGAAATAATACTGTTGTAGAACAGAGATTTTCTTTTTTCTATGGTGGATTAGGTATTATACACAAAATTTAGAAACTACGGAACACGTCCCTAACGAACACTTGACCCCAACCTCAGAAATAACCATTTTTTCAGCTCAAGAATATTTTTGACATATTGACGTTTCGATCCTTTGATCAGGAATCAGTTCACTTCTCTGATCCAAATCATATTTATCGGTTGGTAATATGTTTCCTGTAAATATGGATTGTAACCAGAATGAGCTTAGCGAGATTTACGATTTACCCACGTCAAGTATGTTTATCAGGGGTTTATCAGAGTAGGCGCCATCGAGAAACTTGCAAACGACCTTCAATAGGGAGCAAGCGCACCTGTTAAATTTCCATATCCATCTATTATAAGTATAGTCAGTGGCAGATTAATAGTCTTGATTGGGGGTGTGGGATGTAATATTATGAGATATGTTCAAAAATCACGTGATTTAACAACAACAATAATAAATTATGAAAATACCTGTATTGAAACCGTTGTCAAATTCATTTTTTACGACTTGAAAAAACTATAGTAATAATTAAATAATATACACATGGTGACATAGTCATTTCATAAATAGAAATATTTATTTTTTTCTACTAGATATAGCAGACAAACTGGTGGAGTTTTTATAAATACATAAGTCCATGAAACTGATGACCAGAAGAAGAGCCTGACCCAGCAGTTCTTTCGTAGGCGATGCACGTGACATGAACGCATCTCTCAGCTGATCCTCTATGGTGATTGGTGTGCAGGGTAAGTTGAACAGTTTATTTTTACCATCGTTTTCCACCAGTTCGGTTATTATCGTCCCAGCTGCAACTTTTTCGTTTCCCACTAGTGTCCTGAATAACCTGAAAATAATCAAGACAAATTCTTGAATCTTGGGAAACAAAGATTAAATGGATGATAATAAATATCTCAGACGGAAGGTTTGTTTTATCGGGTCATTTTTTCCGCAGATACCGATTGAAATCCCCGAAATCCCCGATATTTAATAGGAACAATGAAAATCGAGATAATAATAGTGTTTATGAATATTTCGATATCTTATTGATTTTTGTGCAGAGGAATGAAAAAAAAACATGTGAAATATAGCGTTCAAGTACTCACAAAGAATAATCTATCCCTCTGAGAAACCCCGGTAGATAGCAGATCAAGATGTTTATCCTTACCATCAGAAACAATAATCAAAATTATGAGGCTAGTGCGGTACTTAACGTCATTATGACATTCAAAAAAGTGTCAAATCATAATAATGGGCTTATATCACAAAACATTTTTATTTCATAACTCGATAGAACTCACCCAAACTAGCTCACCACCGCAAACCGTTTCTTGCTGTGAGCTCCCTACGTTTTATAAAAAATTATTGAAATCCCCGATTTTTCGGACCTCTGAAAACGAGGCGATGATGTGACGTCAAAACCCTAATACTGAAACAGGACTATTCCAGATAGAGATGAATGATACATGATTTCTGACAGAGTGAATTAGCGCGAGATCACAGTTGAAAGAATTAATATATCAGTTGCCTCAGTCTCCGTCGGGCGTTTGGTATTTTCTTTCAACTATGGCGAGATGAAGTTTCTACGTCATAAGAGGCTCCGTTTTCAGAAGGTACTAATATTTATGTCCAAAAATAAAACATTCCAGTTGATTTTTCTATCGAATTATGTCGTCAATCATTATTTGTATATAAAAGGATCATTATAAACATGGTTTGAGTTAAAAGTTCTACTAAGGTGTACACGGGTGTACATGCCCGAGAGACGAAGACATCCGATTTTTTAGGTAGGTACATTGTGATCTAAAAGTACTATAGTCACTCACATTGATGTCACTTTGAAATTTTGTCATTTCATTCATTTCTCAATTCCTTCTGCAATAAGAACTAATAGAAATACTGTGAAGTTTCCAAAAGAAGTCAAGAAGATTGGATTCATGGAATCAAACAGAAGGAGTGGTCTGACATGCTGAGAAATATGATCAATTGATCGTGTGTGTTGTAGACATTTTCACCCAAGGCTTGATTTTCACCAGGGTTGGGATTGTTGTTACAATTGTAATTTCTATTACAATCGCGTCTCAGTTATTACGCTATTACTACATTGACGGAAACGGCCAATATCTATTACACTTTGACTGGAGGCAATAATTGAAGTTTGAGCACAACGTAAGGAAGAAATGGCAACGTTAGTGGGGTCAATTTTTCAAACTTTTTATTCGTTCTTATAATAGTTTTGTAAATTTTGTTACGGAGGATTTTTACAATTCCGAACCTAAAAACCAAGACCTAATAACTCGCCTAATAATCTAATAATAACGATTTCATTTGGTGACGACTCAAAGAAAGGAATGAAAAAATGAACAAGTAAAATCTATAATATATGTTATATTCTGAAACTTATTCTGTTTTTGGAGATCAAGACGATTTGAGATTCTTATTATTCACATTATTTGCTCGGCTATTATCTATGTATCAATTTTTTTCTTCATATATAAGATGTAAAATCTTATTTAACCCAAAAAGTTATACTTACTAGAAACACAATGTTATTAGTTGAGGAAAGAATATTTACCTTGTCATATAGAAGCTAAACATTTTGTGAGACTGAGTTTATTTTTTAGATTTATTAGTTCCTATCTTATTTTCAGTTTTTATTTATTGTGGAATTGAGTCTGTGTTGTATTTCATTTTTCCTCGATAGTCCAAAATCCTAATAAGTGCATTGTAACCAAAGAATCTCCTCTTTGTTGTAAAATTATAATGAGTAAATTCAAATTTGCCGCGCATTGTTTCAAATCTATTACATTTTGCTACCAAGATTCAGTACAAACTACAAACTGACACTAACGAAATCCCAAGCCCGATTTTCACTCAATTAGCAGTTTTAGCTTCCATTGCAGAAGTGGCAGAAGGAAGTATAATGAGAAACGACCAATTTTTATAATGAAAACAATGTTCAAACAATATTCCTGAAAAATGATATTCCTTCATCTCCTGCTGCATTTTTTGTGAATTGTTCAACAGCACAATGTGATGGTTGAAGATCCCAAAAATCATGATTCCTATGCCAAAATATTTTGAAAAACTATTTCAATCCCTAACAAATAATAAAATTGAGGTTGTGTTTCAAGTTCCAATAGGTCGCGTGCACGAAGACCGACCCTGGAGGCAAAATATTGAAACACAACCTCATTCTTCTGTGAATTATTGAAACACAACCTCACTTTTTTATTTGGTTACAGAGGAATCAAAAGGTTGAAATAGTTTTTCACAATATTTTGGCATACGAATCGTGTTTCTTGCGTTATTCATTAATTCAAGCATGCCTTCGCATTGTGCTGTTATACAATGCACAAAAAATGCAGCAAGAGACTAGGGAATATGATTTTTCAGGTAGATAGTAATCTCACATAGTTAGCATTATGAAATGTTGTCATTTCCTTATTAAAATTCCTTCTGCCTTCTGCCACTTCTGCAATACAAGCTAATGCTGCTAATAGATTGAAAATGTCTACAACACACACGATCGTCAGCATGTCAGACCAGTCCTACCGATTGATTGCATGAATCCAATCTTCTTGCATTATTCCTAGAAATTTCAGGTATATTTCTATCAGCTGATCCTATTGCAGAAGGAATTCCGATGAGAAATCAGAGAAATAACCAAATTTCAAGAATGAAAACTATGTGAGTGACTATAGGTACTTACTTTTGAATCATAATGTACCATCCGGATTTCTTCATCTTCCGCTGCAGTTTTTGTGTATTTTACAACAGCACAATGTGATGGCATTAGCGAATTGATGAATAGCGGAAAAATACGATTCATATGCCAAAATAATTGTGGAAAACTATTTTGGCATATGAATCGTATTTTTCCGCTATTCATCAATTCGCTAATGCCTCACATTGTGCTGTTGTAAAATGCACAAAAACTGCAGCAAAAGATGAAGAAATCCGGATGGTACATTATGATTCAAAAGTAAGTACCTACTATAGTCACTCACATAGTTTTCATTTTTGAAATTTGGTTATTTCTCTGATTTCTCATCGGAATTCCTTCTGCAATAGGATCAGCTAATAGAAATATACCTGAAATTTCTAGAATAATGCAAGAAGATTGGATTCATGCAATCAATCGGTAGGACTGGTCTGACATGCTGACGATCGTGTGTGTTGTAGACATTTTCAATCTATTAGCAGCATTAGCTTGAATTGCAGAAGTGGCAGAAGGCAGAAGGAATTTTAATAAGGAATGACAACATTTCATAATGCTAACTATGTGAGATTACTATTTACCTGAAAAATCATATTCCCTAGTCTCTTGCTGCATTTTTTGTGCATTGTACAACAGCACAATGCGAAGGCATGCTTGAATTAATGAATAACGCAAGAAACACGATTCGTATGCCAAAATATTGTGAAAAACTATTTCAACCTTTTGATTCCTCTGTAACCAAATGAAAAAGTGAGGTTGTGTTTCAATAATTCACAGAAGAATGAGGTTGTGTTTCAATAATTCACAGAAGAATGAGGTTGTGTTTCGATATTTTGCCTCCAGGGTCGGTCTTCGTGCACGCGACCTATGTTTTACAGAAAAGTGAGGTTGTGTATCAATTCAGTATCAATGTTTTACCACCAGGGTCAGGGTTGGTCATCATGCACTGACCAATAAAAACACAGCTTACAGTAAAGTTTGGTGTTCACTGATAACTGATTTCAGGCAGGTTTCAGGTAAAAATATGGGCACATGGAGCCAGATTTCATTTACAGATGTCCTGCAGATAGGAAACAATGAAAATTGGTAGGTAATTGACTCCAAAATTTTTCAAGTTGATATTTTAATTTGATTCTATTAATTTCAAGATTCAACTTTGTGAGTATTGAAGCTTTTCTGGATATTAATCAAAATATAAATCTAATTTGTCATCCAATCAGAAATCTGAACCACCTAATTGTTTTGCCTCACCTTGCTGGCAATTTGGATCTCAAAAAGAACACCCTATTCTCAATGGTGGTCTGATTAGATCTGTCCTCACTGGGATTTTGCAAGGTCATGTTATGATTCACACTAGTGTTCAGTAAAGCTAACAGCATGGATGTCAACTCTTGCTTTTGGGTGTAAGATGAAACTGTGGCAGACTGGGTCTGTCCTTGGGGGCCCAATTGGTGGTTGGCTTCAAAAATGTACAAGTCACTTGGTGGAATGTGTCGAACCAAGTTCAGAGCCTACATAAAATTATTAGATGATAACCTACTACTAAATACAAAGAAATGAAATCATACCTGATCAAAAGTTTCTGAAGGTAGCATTTTTTGTGGAAGTGAAGAGAAATCTTCAAAATTCCAGTTTGTTAGCTTGTTTTTATCACATGAGAGTCTTGCCCAACTTATACCCATTGGGGTTAAATGTATTCCAGTAGCAGTGGTAATGGTCTGGAATTGAAATCAATGCATGTTACAAGTTTGGTTTGATATTTTTGATATTGTTTCACTCACATTGACTACATTTTCACATAGGACAGGTGTTACTAATTGCTTTGTTCTTTTATTTCTCAGACTAGCAGGTTTGGATTTGTTGAGAAGCTCCTCTACTGGATTATTAACTATATTTTCATAAAGATTCCTTAATATAGTTTCACTGAGTCCTTCAACATCCAGTACATCATTTAGGGTTTGAAATGGACCTCTTCTTTTCTTCCAGCTTTCGAGATTCTTTATTCTACTTTGTGAAACTCTCCACATGGACAGTTGCTCCTCTGTTGAGTCATTCAGAGTATTTAATATTTTCGTTTTTTCATCATGGGTGAAATTTGTTGATAAAGTAGTATCACTGTATCGGGTTGAATTTATGGAATATTTGGCCTAAAACGAGGAATACACTAGTCAGGAATAGGAAATTGAAACATTTGATGGTGAGCTTACAATTTGTCGTAAATTTATTTGAGACTTTCTGAGAAATGTTGACGCCATTATGGTTCTATTCTAGTATTTGCACATGTTGAGAAGACTACTGAAATGGACTGAAATTGAATGAATCACAAATAAAAACAAAATGAAAATTACATAATAACCATAATATTTTGTAGTTGCAAGTTAGGTTATAGTCATTCTTCTTCTATTTCTTTGGTCGAGTGACTCATGCTATGTTGCTTCGATGGCTGTCAGCCAAAATCTGATGACCCAATTTAGTAGGTCAAATACAAATTAGGCACATAATACTACTCCCATGTTTATTGAAGCGGAGTGGTTTTGGTTTTATTAGTTTTGTCACATTAACACATTACATATTAACAAACCTGTATCATCATTCGATAATACGTAGTAGGAAGTGAAGAAAAACAAAAATTACTTCATTAGTTCATCAATTCTGAATTCAGGAATCATAACAGTTTGTTTTTTGTCACTTATCTGACCAATTAGGTACATATTGGTCTGGCAGTCTTCTCACATTCGTCTTCTGTGTGGAAACGATTTCTGGTACCATGACAGCCCCCATAAATTCCCTTTGTGCATCCTTTCAAGGAATTGTCCCACGTGTATACTTGAAAATAGGCATAACACGACGATTCACCAGGTCCAGGATGTTCAATGGGCTCATTGCAATCTGAAAATGTACAGAGTGTCTATTTTGCTAGTTGTAGAGTATGGAGTGTGTTTATAACTAATTCTTTGAACAAGACATAATGATATATAGTGACTATAGATCGAAACTTTCGGTGAACAAAAATAAATCTTACCGGTTTTGGTGAATTTGGCGTCTTCCTCAGCATTAACAGAACAAAACAAGATTCCGATGAAGCATAGGTATAGTATGAATTTGCACATTTTGATTATATTACTTGAAACGATTCCTTTATTCGTTCGTATGAAGATTCAACTGTTTGGTATGTGATGTAAATTCATCAGTATTTATAAGATAATATGTATTATGTATTCGCCTTTATCACTTTTTTTGATAATTTACCAACGATAATATATATTTATGTTGGAAATATTCCAAAGTATCATATCCATATTCTCATTATTTCTATGAAATAAATAAAGATTGCCGAAAGCTTGATAAGTAATAAATTGGTCACCTTTGACTGCTGAACTGATATATCTACCTATTTTCGAATGGATACGAAATATTTTTTCCGTTGAGATGAAATACCCTAAATGTGTTTATCCTTTATATCTACGTATAATGGTTCTGAAAATTGCAATGATTAAATGAATAGAAACTAGTGTTTTTTGAAATAAAAGAAGTGGTAGTTTTAAAAATCCATTGCTACGAAAATATCAATGTCTGTACTTCATGAGATCAACCTAGGAACAAGAGAGTATGTTTTATAATAAACATATATCTATTGTGAATTGTTCTGAAATTACTGAAATTGATGAATTCCTATATTGTTTATATCCCACATTTTGCTTCTTTAAAAACGATGTTAGCTTACAATTTTGACTCAAATTCCAGTTTATTTTAACTTTATAACAACACTCTAAACATAGTTATTTACTCCATAAAGTATTTAGCTGATAATGTATTTTGAAAATCTGCACAATAGTCTCGAGGAACACCTCTTTCTTGATACTATTTGTCCCTTTGTTGTGGCACCATATTCAAATTAGGTATATATTGTTTCTCATATTTTGCAGAGTTTGCTGCATCTAATAGGATGGAATCTGATAGCTCGTCGTCAGAACTGCTCATTTTAATAGCTTTTAACCTTTTTTTGATTTGATGAATAGAAAAAATGTCGGTTTGTACATTCTTGCTGACAGAAACCGAGGAAAAATCTGGCATCGTGTCAAAGTACGTCTTTTCTAAGTGAAAAAATTACAGAGTATTTACTAACAAAATTTATTATTGATCCAAAAAATTTATAAATACGAGTATACATCCACTAATAATAATCACTAAAAGGTAGGTTCTCAAAATCACCACAAGATAAATCGCCTTGTTCAAAAAATTCTAGAAAACAATCACAAAATATAAACATCAGCTCTTCAGCACGATCCCAAATGCTTGCCCAAAAATTGATATGTAATCCGAAACATCTAGAAAGGTATACAAACAACTATAATACATAGTGTACACAAGTCTTATGGCAGTGCACTACAAAAGTAGGCAAGAAAATTTTACAATTTTTACAACACTAGCTTCGTTCACAAACGAACTCTATAACCATTTAATCTGTGATGTAACTGAAATTGTAAAATAATATGTATTCATAGTTTTTTCAACACAATTCGCTGCGATTCTCAGAAAATTACATACAATTTCATGGGATATTCAAACACCACTCAAATTCTCGATGATATATAGGTAACACCCTTATTCTTTCACATCTACATCATAATATGCCACTATCTTGTATATCAAGTTAGAAAACAAGAACAAAGGAGTTTACAAAGTATTTTTTCAATGCTCAGTTCATCCATAAAATTATATATCTTTTTTTTTCAATCGATCCGTAGATTTGAGCGAATGGATGTTTGAATATTTCCACTTTCTGTGAATGATACAGTTCCCAGTTTTTACTGTTTTTTTTTTCTAGATATTGAGAAATCAGAGTAATTTTTCTCTAGTATGGCTGTTTCTGTTTCATTTTCTTGAATTCTCGCATCATCTTGCTGAAAACCCTATTAGACATTAAAAAAAAACAGAAGGTCAACCTCTCGAAGAAATACGTCAAAGAGTTCGTTTGCAAACTGTTCTTCATAGTCGCTTGTCGGTTCATGGTCCGTCTTAGAAGCACTTGCGGTGGACTATTCCAGGGCCGGATTCATCGTACTCCTGCTTGGAGATCCACATCTGCTGGAAGGTGGACAGCGAGGCCAAGATGGAGCCTCCGATCCAGACTGAGTACTTCCTTTCCGGGGGAGCGATGATCTTGATCTTGATGGTCGAGGGAGCCAGAGCAGTGATTTCCTTCTGCATACGATCGGCGATACCTGAAAAAATATGTAGTGTTAGCGACGACTCATCGATATCCGTAATCATCGTGTGATCGAAGATTGAAGCAGGTTTTATCAGCATCGTAGCATCAGAACGAATCACTTGTCGATGTTGAATTTTTATGGACGGTCATCTTTGTACAAGCCGTCCTGAGTGAATAAAAATGTGTTTGAGTGTTGAAATTGTGTCTATCTACGATGCCTCCATCTAGAATCTTATAGTAGTTTTGTTCTTAGTGTTGAAGCTTGCGGAGAAACCTACAATACTGTTGAATTTCAATAATAAGGTTGGTAGGTAGAACTGATTATTATTTGTAGGAGGTTATTGCTTCGATGAAAAACGCGGTTAGGAAAATTAGTAATTTGTGACGTAGTCATTCCCAAATTTATATGTAGGGCTATGTACATTTCTAGATCTATACGATATAGATTTCCACTACTCGGAAATTAAATGTTCGATGGAATGACATCATGAATGGCTAATTCCCCTGCGTTTTCTGATAGATGCAACCTTCCTCTACAAATAATCAGCAGTTCTACCATCCTTGGTATCAATTGGATCAACGCCAATGGGTATAAATTATTGGCATTTACTCAAGATACTGAAAATTCTCACTTCAAACTCGATCTCACTATCTCACTTATTTCCACCAACATGTATTGGCCTTCACCCAAAATTATCAATTCATTCAGTGAGTGTACTTGACATGTTGCCAGAAATTGTATACTACATAAATGAATCGTCAAACCTAAGGAATTTCATTCATCCCAGAATATCAGAATATCCAGCTTCCAGTGTTCCAGTGACGGCTCGTCAGGGACGGCAGGGTCGGCCGGGCCGTACCAAATAATTTGGGGAAAATTACTGAACTATTTGATGAATAAAATTATTTTCCGAAACTGTTTTCATAATTCATCGCTCATTATCCTACTGTTATGCCACTATTATTTGAATTTCATTCATGGAACCTTTGAGTATGCCATCCGCATATACACCGAAAATCACGAACTAATTCAGGACCTACGACATCTGGTAATCCCATCGTCAAAACGCCGCTTTCAGTTGAACCGCTCGCGTAGCTCATTACACTGATGCAGACGGCCGGCCGATCGGTGATTTCTTGTCTCGACGCATCGCCACAGGCATCGCCTACAGATTCCCCGCTTCAAGTTTAAATTTTCGCTTATACGCGTCATACCTTGGGTGCGGCCAACCTCTCCTGGCCGTCCAACGTATCGATCGTACTTTTCAGTATTAGTTGTTTGCAGTGCGCTCGCTGTGAACCGTATCGAACCATTCCGACCTAATTTTTAATATACGGATTGGCATGATTGACATTCTATTTTCATTTTACATTGTAGGTATTTATAATTTTAATTCCTATACTTATTTGTAAGTTGATGTTGGGATTTGAAATGTACAAACTGAAAAGAAAAATAATTTCCATGTTTTTGTTTACGCTTGCAGTAGTTGCAGAAAAAATGACTGGTGATTTTTGAATTTGCAATTTTTCAGTAATTCATAATTCAACATATCCATCTAATATTGGTATCAGAATTTTCCTTCAGTGCTTCTGAGCGTCAATAAGTTATAATTCAATTTGAATATTGCTGTAATGTAACCTACTGTGCCTCTGCCTATGTAGGTAATATGGCAAGAAAAATGTCAGCAGTCCAAGAGCTGAGTAGGTATTGAAACATCGTAAAAAAGCTCTGGTGACGAAAATGTAATAAATGTATAACTTCCAGAATATCATTTATTTTCAAAGACGCATTATAAACTACCTAAATAATATTTATGCATCCATCGCATCGCGGGAAACATTATACCTACGGCTGCACCCTGCACGCGGGCTCGGCCAGCCGACTACGAAGGAGTGGGGTCAGTGGGGTGATGGTGGGGTGGCTTGTTACAGGAACGGCGTAGGCGTAGACCGATTAGTCATTGTTGTGCTTCTCGCGTCAGGTGAGTGGTTGTCGGTTTTGTTGATTTTTTTGAGTTTACATTACGTTTTCAACAGAATATAAATATTTTTTGTTCACGAGTTATTTTATTTTTATTTTCTTTCATTTTATTTTTTCGACTTTCTTGTTATTATTTTTTCATACCAACTAACCCTTATCCACCTCCTTTTTCTTTCCCCATTTCCCCTGGCGAGAATGCTCTAACCTCGTGGTTCTTGCTGGACAATTTAATTTTTTGGTTATGTGTACAGGGTGATTCACCATAAATGTCCCACCCTCTAGCTCAATTACTTTTAAACCGATTTCAAGATTTGAAATATCATCTTGAATGATTTTTGATTGAGTTTTTTTCCGCTACATCAGAAAATACAGGGTGCTCAGAACAAACGATCTACAGGGTACCATTTGATTTTTTTATATGGAACACCCTATTTTTCATTGTATTTTTAGATTCTCCCTGAAAAGCTGATTTGCTCAATGCATCACACTTGGGGTCTATCGGGAATGATTACAGAGATATAGGGTGTTCAAAATCGAGATTTTTCAACTTTAGGATTTTTTTGAGACGAAACTATTCATCATCGGTCAAAACGGCTTTCATGTCCATATCTCAACTTTTGATTTACAATCTACTGACATTTAATAATTGGAACAGATACAGGGTGATCAGAATTCTGAATCTTGAACCACCCTGTAAATGTTCCAATCAAATCTCAATAGACAGTTAATCAAAAATTAAGATGGAAACATAGGAGCCGTTTCGACCAATAATGAATAGTTTCGAGACAAAAAAATCCTAAACTTGAAAAATCTCGATTTTGAACACCCTATATCTCTGTTATCATTCCCGCTAGACCCCAAGTATGATGCATTGATGAAATCAGCTCTTCAGGAAGAATCTAAAAATACAATGAAATACAGGGTGTTCGATTTGGAAAAATCGAGTAGTACCCTGTAGATCATTTGTTCCGAGCACCCTGTATTTCCTGATGCAACGGGAAAAAAATTCTGAGAAATCATTTTAGATCATCCTTCAAATTTTTAAATCGGGTCAAAAATAAGTGAGCTAGAGGGAGAAAGGACAATTATGGTGTATCACCCTGTACTTGCTTATTTGCCATCGAACTTCAGACCCACTTACGTTCGCATTTTAGAGCAATATCTATACCCTGGCCGACCCAGGTTCTGAGGGTACGAGCCGTCACTGCAGTGTTCTAAATATATTCGTATATTGACTGTTGTGGACTCCCACTAACTTTTTAGATGACCTGTGAAGGTTTACTTAGACGTAGTCTAATCAATTCCTAAACTGTCATTAGGTGACCTCTGTTTGTCTTACTAAAGGGTTCAAGACCTAGACCTAGGAATGCAGACTCTGCACTTAGCAGGCATTTATTCCTTCATCCCGTGGAACCTTGTTTCATCTAGTCAAGATGCGAATATTCAAAGATAATCCTCTTATTATCTTAATCTTCAGTTGTGTGTTGTATTCTCTCTTATCTGCAGTAAGTATTCAGTCCAGAAAATCCATTAGAAATAACAATCTAGACATTCAGAAATATTCTTGAACTCGTCTTACAGAAATAGAAAACTGATACGTATGTCTAATTTGTTCGGATGATCACTGTTTCGTAATCGTCCGTTGCCGTGTCAATATGAATAATTTTGAATGAGTTGCTACTCACCAGGATACATAGTGGTGCCGCCTGACAAGACGGTGTTGGCGTACAAGTCCTTACGGATGTCCACGTCGCACTTCATGATGGAGTTGTACACGGTCTCGTGTATGCCGCATGACTCCATGCCCAAGAACGAGGGCTGGAACAACGCCTCTGGACACCTGAACCTCTCGTTACCGATGGTGATGACCTGAAACCAGCAAAATTGTATTTGTTCACCGCAGGGAAGTTATGGGGTAGTTTTTGATTTCTCTCATTTCATACTTTTTTTCGGGAGTACTGAAAAAGGTGATAAATATAATGCTCTGATAGTTTTTTTGCTTATAACTCGGAAACTATCAACGTTGCATTAGGTTCTCATTAGATGGAGGTCATGATTGCCATCTGGAGACACCCCTGCACTGATACTTTCTTAAAACATTTGTATCTTCTCTTATAAAGAAGATATTGACGTGAATTCAAATCCATTGTGTTAAGAAGAGGTCACACTTCAATCCAGAACATGATGAAGCTAAGTTTAATCACTCACTTTTTCCACAGGGCGTTAAGAAGTTACGATTGAAATACGAAATTTTTTTTCAAGTATAATAATCAAACTATCACCTTCTTTGATAACTAACATTCAGGTTAATATTTCGATTCTACGATTTGGTGGAGATTTGCCCAAAATCGGACGAGAATTGAAGGGGTCAGAAGCGAAACATCCCAAGTGCTATTTTTTGGCAAATCGACGGTATATCGACGCTAAAGGAGCTGAAGTTAATTTATTTTACCTCCCACGGACCCACGGGAGTTAAAATTTTGGTTGTTATGTTTCTTACCCCTTCAATTGAAAAAGTTACATGGCGATCAATATGCCAAAATTTTTTTGCTAGCCGTTTTTTTGCCGACGAGTGTAGTTTTGAGAAGGCATTTCTATAGAAGTCATGACAACCTCTTGTGTAGCTAATGATGAAACTTGGGCTTTTGAGCACAAACAGACTAGTAATATAATCATGGCTAGTATTATACCTGTCCGTCGGGCAGCTCGTAGCTCTTCTCCAACGACGTCGAGTTCGCCGCCGTGGCCATCTCTTGCTCGAAGTCCAGCGCCACATAGCAAAGCTTCTCCTTGATGTCCCTCACGATCTCCCTCTCGGCGGTGGTGGTGAAGGAGTAGCCGCGCTCGGTGAGGATCTTCATGAGGTAGTCGGTGAGGTCGCGACCAGCCAAGTCCAGACGGAGGATGGCATGAGGCAAGGCGTACCCCTCGTAGATGGGGACGGTGTGAGAGACGCCATCGCCAGAGTCCAGGACGATACCTGAAAGGATAGTTATTCCAGTCAAATAGGCTCATTTCGATGCTTGGTATTACTATCAGCAATAACCGCTCTTGGGAAAATCACGTGAGATCAATTGCTAGAAGTGCATCCCAAAAACTTGGTTTTCTGTTTCGGGTCAGGAGCTATTTCACTTCCAGTCAGCTGCTTATGATCTATAAAAGCACAGATCCGACCTGTTTTTGAAATAAAAACACAATGGAGTCATTGTCGTGATATCAGATACAGAAATGAAATTGATGACATACAAAGTACCTCATTGATATGTATCGAATACAGTAAAACAAGAGCAATCTTGTGTTATAGCCGTAGAAAAAACAACTTTTGATCATTCGTTTAAGTATAACGGACAGAGAGGCATGGAAGGAAGAACCTCCTATCAATGTAGACATTGCTGTCTATACGGACGGCTCCAAAACAGAGGAAGGATCAGGAGCTGGTATTTATGGGGTCAAGCCAAAGACAAGAATCTCACTGAGCTTAGGTAAATACGCGACGGTGTTTCAGGCAGAAGTTATTGCAATATATCATTGCGTGAAAGAATTGATAAGGCAAGAGTTTAAAGGCAAAACCATTGCAATCTATTCAGATAGCCAGGCGGCCATCAAAGCAGTCAAATCTATGCAAGTTAACTCAAAAATGAACTGGGCAGTCAGAACAGACTGACTCTAGCATGGGTACCAGCACATACAGGGTACGAGGGCAATGAAGAGGCAGACTTACTTGCCCGAGCAGGAGCAAACAAAGCTCTGAATGGCCCAGAACCCTTCTGTGGTATTGCGAAAGCTATACAAAAGACTAGTATCAAATCATGGATGCAAACCAAATCTCAAGAATGGTGGAACAACTCGCCAGGTATGAGACAGGCAAAAGAGTTTATTAAAAAACCATCGCCAACATTCACAGAACATCTACTGAGCCAGAAACGAAGTTCAACTAGAATACTAGTGGGACTTCTCACAGGGCATTGTAGGCTCAACAAACACATGAGTACGATAGGTCTGACTGAAGAACTGCTCTGCAGGTTCTGTCAGGAAGAAGAGGAAACAGCAGTACACATACTTTGCCACTGTGAGGGCTTGTCAATACTAAGGTTCCTCACGCTGGGTGAGCAGAAACCAGAAGCCCAAAGATACACAGGGGATCTGAAAGCTAGCCTATGGAGTCTCATAGAGAAGGCGGGGCTAGCCGAAGACCTCTAATCGATTTTGAGGGCAGACACAATAGATCTGAAAAGGTCGTGGTGTGGTGGAGGCAGATAGCCCGAAGGCCCCATTCTAAATCTAATCTAATCTAAATCATTCGTTTGGAAAGAATCAAGAGAGGGCACTCCTTACCTGTGGTACGCCCAGAGGCGTAAAGCGACAGCACAGCCTGAATGGCCACATACATCGCGGGCGTATTGAACGTCTCGAACATGATCTGCGTCATCTTCTCCCTGTTGGCCTTCGGATTCAACGGCGCCTCCGTCAACAGAATAGGATGCTCCTCGGGCGCCACTCTCAACTCGTTGTAGAACGTGTGGTGCCAGATCTTCTCCATATCGTCCCAGTTGGTGATGATACCATGCTCGATGGGGTACTTCAATGTCAGGATCCCCCGCTTGCTTTGCGCCTCGTCGCCCACGTAGGAGTCCTTTTGGCCCATGCCGACCATCACGCCCTGATGGCGCGGTCGGCCCACGATGGAGGGGAAGACGGCTCGCGGCGCGTCATCTCCGGCGAAACCGGCTTTGCACATGCCCGAGCCGTTGTCGACTACAAGGGCGGCTACGTCGTCGTCGCACATGGTTGGTTTTGGGGGTGGTGGCTGGGTAACTTGTGGTTAGACTATAATAATCGAAGGTATGTTCATACGAAGTCAGTTGGAATATTATCGATATTATCATCATCGCGCATGGTTGGTTTTGGGGGTGGTGGCTGGGTAACGATAACTTGTGGTTAGTCTATAATAATAATACTCGAAGGTAATACTACGAGTGAATATAATGAATTGGTTATCTGTAAAGTATAGACTGTTCTATTTTTCAATGGTATTCATTTTTAAAATATTGCATAATTTATGCCCGGCTTACTTTAGACCATATATAACATTTTGTCATCAAATACACAACTATGCTACTAGGAACAATAGAAATGTTTATGATATGAGAACTAATTATACTAAAACCATGAATTCCTTATTTCACCAAGGACTTTTGAAATATAACGAACTTCCAAACCGCTTGAAAGAATGCTCAACACTCAATTCATTCAAATCAATGCTACTTGCATATATTAGGAATAATATAAACTGCTCCACATTTGAAGTGAGACAAGCGAACATTTTGGATGAGATCAACCGATCTTTGATTAGTTTTGAGATTGTGATTGCCCAGTTGATTGGCTATAACATATTTTTTTTACGTTTCTCCACCATTTCGGAATTATGACCTACAGGATGATATCTGAAAGTGTGATACTTTCCGAAAAGTTTGAGGTCGCCCCGTTAGCAGGATAATTTTTTTAAAATTTTTCTGACGGCAAAAACATGAAGCCTAATGTGTTTCCTCGAAATGGTTTCGGATTTATCAAGATCCATACAGGATGTTTTGAGATATGCAATATCATGGATTAGCAAAAGTGATTTCGTGATTGAACGAAAAACCTTCAGGGTTAGTTCGCAGGGAGGAATAAAGTGAATGTGGAGTGTGGTTATTTCATGAATAAAATTGTCAAAGCTAGGATGTTTTTTCTCAGTGGATATAGAGAATGAGAATTGATGAACATATACCACGAAGAGAATACAGATAATACGTAACACAATATTTATTTAATAAAGAAAAATTAACAACGGCAGATGTCGTCGATTATCAATATTTTGTTACACCACCCCTAGCCGCTGCGAGAGCCCTAACTCTTCTCGGCATACTTGTTATCAAGCCATCAATGAAATCTTGGGGAATAGCTGTCCATTACAGTTACATTACGGTTTTTTGTCTCCCTCCGCTACGCGTCGGGAGACAACACAACCTGGAGCTAAAATCTAATATTTTTCCCGTGTATAAAACACTTTTTTTTCTGTGACAGAAGGAAGGACGAATCAATATTGAGAAGATATTACATTATTTCGAAATCTGAAAATTATCGACGTGAAATTTCAAGTTTTTAACAGTAAGGACACCTGCGTTTTATAGACATCTTTATCATTCTTTTGAAGTAATCAAATATCTGATGTCACTTCTGTCAGTTCAATTCTGTGATTTGATTTTGAAAAATTGCGAATTCAGTAGTTGTTTAGTAATATACGAAACCGCGAAGTCGAATGGAAGATAAAAGGACTTGCAGTTCTTTCTCGGAGACGGTATTATTGACTCATTTTTCGGAACTATAGCACAACAAAAGCCATTAACAGAGTATATATATGTGATATATATCCGGGAAAAAAGTACTCACTTTTTTCCCACGGGAAAAAAGTAATTTATGAAAAGTGACATTTTATAACCTGCCAACAGAGATGAAATGCCAAACTTTTTTCCCGTCACAGAAAAAAAAAAATTTTAATCTTTTGAGTTAACATACAAAGCCTATTATTCAAATGTCAAAACCATCAAAAATCGTCATTATCCAAGTAACTTCTTAATAATATTTCAGTGTGAAATTTTCTTACCGAATACCACTTAAGCTTCAATTAATATCCGGGAATTTTTTCGAGAACACGAATATTTAGACTCGGGAGAATTTTCAAAATATTCGTGTTCTCGAAAAAAATTACGGAGATAATTGAAGCTCTTGTGATATTATAAGTGAAAATCCTTGTCAATTTGTCACTGTCATAAAGAATGACCCATTTCCATACGATGCCAGTCAGTTCTGGCACTTATCCTTAGCACATCCTTACACCCAAGAATCTCCAACACTAAAAACCACCCTGTATCACACCAACCCCACAAACACCAATCTACGTGAACACCAATACCAACCTCTAATTAGCACTACGTCGACTCGACTGCGCGTCTGGAGGTACGAGTACGCTACCGACGCCGAGCGCCCTTTTTATAACGACGCCGACGACGCCGACTTAAAAATAACGAGGCGGCCGTCCATTTATGGGCACGGGATGGCAGAGGACGTTCGGCCATATAAGGCGGGCCAGTGATGGGCCGGAGGAATGCCCAGAGGCGCGCATTGTATTTTCCGGAGGAGAGGGGGAATACACGAGAGAATTTTTTTTATCAACAGTGAAATCACAAGAGCTTTTTTTTTATCGGATAAATTTCTCTTCCTAACGAAAACATTTGCCAATCAGTAATTTTTCGAGAAAAACTGACATGAAAAAATTGCGAGACCGTAGGTCGAGCAATTTTGTCTAATGTCAGTTTTTCGATAAAATAAACTGGGCGTCAATTGAAACGTTAATAGTGAAATTTGGCATCAAGTTTGACTTCTCGTAATTTCTAAAATATTGAACGAATTTCGACTTGCCGCCCAGATTCTGAATGCCTTTTTTCATCGTCTTCCGAACCATTCCTTACAGCTTCTTCTAAATTGATCAGGACTCGTGATACAGGGTGAAACAAAGTTTCGTGCATTTTGAAGAAAATTTCTCCGACCCCCCATTTTGTCGGAAGACCACGATGCACATATTTCATTCGGGCATTTTATAAATGGCAACCATACCTCGGGACGTTCTCGAGTTTTTGCCAAAAACTACTGTGGTTTCCAAAAAAAAAATTTTTGATTTTTTTTTAAATGGACTGATTACCTGTATCCTCAGAACGATGAATCAGTCTATTTATTGTCATGACTGACTTATTGAAAATTGTACTTAAATGAGTTTGGGTATATCCTAATCGTCGTAGCCTGAAATAATAATTATCTGTTCTGTACTGAATTATTGAACGAGGCATCTTTAAATTTTTTAGGACCCGAATTACACTGACGTTTTCATGAAAATTAGCAATTGATATAACCTCTATGCATATCTACATTGTTTCAACAATACGTTGTTATAGAAACAAGGTATCGTTGTTTGTTTTTGTTGATGAGATGTGTTGATTTACTGCTCACTAAGGTAGAAAACTTTCATCATAGACTGCAAAGTAATAAATTATTGATTGTTTTTTAGTAACCTGGTATACATATCTGCTCCAACGCTTTCCTGAAATGCATAATAGCATCCATTTATGGAACTCATCTAAAATTAGTCCATTCAAAAAAATACAAAAAAAAAAATTTTTTCGGAAACCACAGTAGTTTTTGGCAAAAACTCGAAAACGTCCCGAGGTATGGTTGCTATTTATGAAATGCCTGAATAAAATATGAGCATCGTGGTCTTCCGACAAAATGGGGGGGCGGAGAAATTTTTTTCATAATGCACGAAACTTTGTTTCACCCTGTATCACGGGTCCTGATCAACTCAGAAGGAGCTGTAAAAAATGGTTCGAAAGACGATGAAAAAGGCATTCAGAATCTGGGCGGCAATTCAAAATTCGTTCAATATTTCAGAAATTACGAAAAGTCAAACTTGATGCCAAATTTCACTATTAACGTTTCAATTGACGCCCAGTTTATGTTCGTTTCGAAGCAGTAGGTATTCAATCTGAGTAGGTAATCACTTTCATTATATTCAATATATGGAAAACTAGTCATAGCAAGGAGCTGAAAATTCTTCATCTCATTGAGGTATTAATACTCAGAATATTGATGAAAAAAAAAATCTGACCTTAACGGTGAAAATCTAAAATTAGAGGGTGATGGAAAAAACAGTGGTTTTTTAATATTTTTTTGTAATTGGCCATTTTTTCAATCAATAAATCACTCTGTATACCATGAAATGCATCATAATGTGGCCTCAAAAATTATAATCAATAGCCTAAATCAACCCAGTAATACGAGGTGGCTCATTAAACTTTATTTTCTAAACATCTGCATTCACGAAACACCATGTATAATCAATACATATAATGAATCAATTTCATTTAAGAAGAACATATCGAATGATAATTCTGATTTTTTAATTTTCATCAAGTTGTAGTATTTAGAAATTGAAAATTACACAATAATTCAGATGTGAATCACCCTGTGATAAAGATCAGCTTTGGTTGATTCTGTACATGGTTGTTGTACCTATAGGTTGAACTGAAAAACTGCTAGCAGAAAATTCTGATTCATTTGTCTTTTCTTGGAGATATGGGTAGATGAAAAGGGGGCATTTCTCAACTTCAACACCCTGTATCTCAAAAACTGGTCATAGGATCGGATTGAGACTCGGCATATTTGATCATTAGGTCGAGTTCTGTAATATACTAGAAATTCAGAGAATTCGACAGAACGCCATTTTTATATAGAAAAAGTGCGGGGTCCTTTGGACATGTATATAAATATACAGGGTGATCCACGGTGGATGGCGTATTAGAAGTTTCTGGAGAACGAAAAGACAAAACATTCTGAAAATTGGGATGCTTTGATAATTGAACATTCTCTATCCGTCTAAAATATTTTCATCGATACAGTGTTGCCACTTCTATCAGAAACAACTAGCAACTTCGTTATTTTAAATGGAGCACCCTGTATTTCATTGCATTTTTAGATTCTTCCTGAAGAGCTGATTTCATCAATGCATCACACTTGGGGTCTAGCAGGAATGATTACAGAGATATAGGGTGTTCAAAATCGAGGTTTTTCAATTTTTGTATTTTTTCGTGTCGAAACTATTCATTATCGATGAAAACGGCTTACATGTCCCTATATCAACTTTTGATTCACTATCTACTGGAATTTAATTGGAAAAAATACAGGGTGCTTCAAGATTCAGAATTCTGATCACCCTGTATCTGGTCCAATTAAATGTCAGTAGATAGTGAATCGAAAGTTAAGATAGGGACATGTGCCGTTTTGATCGATGATGAATTGTTTCGACACAAAAAAATCCTAAAATTGGAAAATCTCGATTGTGAACACCCTATATATCTCTGTAATCATTCCTGCTAGACCCCAAGTGTGATACATTGATGAAATCAGCTCTTCAGGAAGAATCTAAAAATGCAATAAAATACAGGTTGCCCCATTTAAAATAACGAAGTTGTTAGTTGTTTCTGATAGAAGGGGCAACACTGTATCGATGAAAATATTTTAGACGGATAGAGAATGTTCAATTATCGAAGCATCCCAATTTCCATAATGTTCTGTCTTTTCGTTCTCCAGATACTTCTAATAGGCCATCCACCGTGGATCACCCTGTATATAATTTTCTTTCCAAATTCGTTTCAATTTCACGCAAAAGTTAAATTTAATGATCCAACATTTACCCTGCAAATTTAAAAGGGCAATTAGCCTACGCCACTGTCATAAATAATAGGGATTAAATTGGAACTGTGTCCTTTATTTTGGGAGATTCATGATGTATTGTATATGCATACGGTTCATACATGTGCATATTGTTTTATGAATAAACTAATAATAGAAAACCATCGGGAAACATTTGATAGATGTTCAGTCAGATGTGGTGTGGGTCGTTCCATGTTAATTATAGATTTTCCCTCCCAAGGTTACGTAAATGAAAATGCTTCAACTAGCAATAACGATTTTATTTCAACTAGAAGAATATACCTACCATGAGCCTACAAGTATATAATTATTATACCAGAATACTACAGATAATATATATATATGTTTTTCTATTCTGATTTTTTTTTATTCCAGACATTCCTTCAAGTGACGAATCGTCCATTGATTTTCAGCCAGCTTGAATCATTTGGTCGAGATTTACTGTGAAGGTAAGTGCAATACCTTATAAAAATGGTAGTTGGCGATAAAAAAATTCAGATGATTATGTAGAAAAACAGTCATCAAAGGGCTTATATCACAAAAAAAAAATTTCATAATTCGATCGAACTCACCCAAACTAGCTCACCACCGCAAACCGTTTCTTGCTTTGAGCTCCCTATGATTTATAAAAAAAATATTGAAATCACCGATTTTTCGGACTTCTGAAAACGAGGCGATGTGACGTCAAATCCCTAATACCGAAACAAGACTATTCCAGACAGAGATGAATGATACATAATTTCTGACAGAGTGAATTAGCGCGAGATCACAGTTGAAAGAATCAATATATCAGTTACCTCAGTCTCCGTAAAGGTGTTTGGTATTTTCTTTTAACTATGGCGAGATGAGGTTTCTACGTCATAAGAGGGTCCGTTTTCAGAAGGTACTATTATTTATATCCAAAAATAAAACATTCCAGTTAATTTTTCGATCGAATTATGTCGTCAATCATTATTTATGTATAAAAGGATCATTATAAACATGGTTTGAGTTACTGAGGTGTACACGCCCATTGAATCTGTACAATTAAATGTTGCAGAATGAATGTAATTCTTTCTCTAAACTTATGGAATTTTCTCTCATTGTTTCTATATCCTCTAGCACCCTGTATCTGTTCCGAAAAGGACGAATCAATAGTGAGAAGATATTACATTCTATTAAAAACAGAAAATTATCGACGTGAAATTTCAAGATTTGAAGAAGGTATGACACCTGCGTTTGCAGGCATCTTTATCATTCTTTTGAAGAAATCAAATATCTGTCACTCTAATTCAGTGACTTGATTTTCAAAAATTGCGTATTTAGTGGTTTTTTACGTAACCGCGTAGTCGAATGGAAGATAAAAGGACTTGCAGTTCATTCTCGGAGACTAACGTTATTGGCTTCTTTTCGGAATTATAGCCATCAATAGTGTATATACTAGGTGTTTTAGAAATGAGTGCACATATTCAGCACATTAATATGATACAGTCTAAGGAATATTCCCATGATATCAGATTTTTTTTAACTCTTCTAATTAACGAGAAATTTCATCCCAGAAATTGAACAAAATACGAGAAATAAATCTAGTACGCCACTTTAAAACAATTTAAATGATTGAACTCCGCTTGATTGTGCCTACCGCATGGAAATCTGAACAGAGGTTACGTCAGATTTGCTACAGTGTAGAACTTTGGGTGGAAGAAGTTGTCTATCCTCAAATTTTATTCTGATCCCTGAATTGTTTTTATTAGTGCCATTCGATACACGTCGAGCTTTCTCAGTGTTTGAAATATTTGCACTCATTTCAATGCCATCCTGTATATATGATATATATCCGGAAAATAGTACTCACTTTTTCCGTGGGAAAAAAGGTAATTTATGAAAAGTGACATCTTATAACCTGTCAACAGAGATGAAATTTCAGATTTTTTTCCCTTCATAGAAAAATAGTAATTTTCCTAACAAGTGCGGAAAGACACTTTCCGCAAGAGTTAGGAACAATATTTTTTCTACAAGCATAGGAAATTGATTGAATCGTTCAATTAATTATTCGAGCAAAGAGCAAGAGTACAGAGTGGGCCTTTGAAAACGAAACAGAGGCTCTGTGGGACGCCAAAACCGGATTATCAAAAAAAACTGAAACAGGTCAACTACATTTTCGAGGGGGACATCTTTCTAAAATATTTTCAGTCCTGCGGCGTTGCCGCTTCTAAAGAAAAGAAGCAACAACTTTGTTATTTCAAATGGAACACCTTGTATTTTATTGCATTTTTAGATTCTCCCCGAAGAGCTGATTTCATCAATGCATCACACTAGGGTCTAGCTGTAATGGTTCCAGGGATATAAAGTGTTCAAAATCGAGATTTTTCAACTTTAACATTTTTTTGTGTCGAAACTATTCATTATTGGTCAAAACGGCTCTCATGTCCCGATCTCAACTTGTGATTTACTATCTACTGACATTTATTTGAAATAAATACAGGGTGGTTCAAGATTCAGAATTCTGATCACCCTGTATCTGTTCCAATTAAATATTAGTAGATAGTGAATCACAAGTTGAGATAGGGACATGGGAGTCGTTTTGGCCAATAATGATTAGTTTCGACACAAAAAAATGTTGACGTTGAAAAATCTCGATTTTGAACACTTTATATCCCTGAAACCATTACAGCTAGACCCCAAGTGTGATGCATTGATGAAATCAGATTTTCGGGGAGAATCTAAAAATGCAATAAAATACAAGGTGTTCCATTTGAAATAACAAAGTTGTTGCTTCTTTTCGTTAGCAGCGGCAACGCCGCAGGGCTGAAAATATTGTAGGACGATGTCCCCCTCGAAAACGTAGTTGACGTGTTTCAGATTCTTTTCATAATCCGGTTTTGGCGACCTACAGAGCCTCTGTTTCGTTTTCAAAGGCCCACTGTGTATTCTCTATCTACTGATTGTTAGTAATAGCTATAGTGAACTTACAATTTGACGCATTATGTTGGTTCATTGCGGAAGCCAGCAGGCCCATTAGGAGTTTGGTCTCTAGGTTCTAGACACTTCTATGAAATGAGCCAAAAATACCTATTCTTCATTCGGTATTTTCATTTCTTTATTGTTGCACCATTCAATAAAACGCGTGTATAGCATCTCATGCCTTTCGACTTCGTTGGTGATAACGCATCTGTATCAAATCCCTATAGCTAGAAGTTTTTGATCACATTGTGGCATTTCCACTGAATCGAAAATGACAGTAACGCTGTGTCTATCACTTCGGGAATTTCAAACTTATTTGAGGTTTGATAAGCATGACAACATCAATAATCGTTTCCCGTCAGATCAATGTCAGATCAATCCAAATCTATAGGGGGATTTTTATAATAATCAATTTTTATTTCTCAATATTTCTCAATTTTTACAATAAATAGTGCAATTTGATGGATGATTCTGAACATACATACTTAATACTGCAACAAACAAACTTAAACTTTTATATCCCATCACCAACCACTTATATATTATTAGCGATTTTATCATATCTTTGTTTTCCCGCGCTAGTGTGGGAAAATTTTCCCGGACTGTTGCGGGAAAATGACACTTTCCAAACTAAATTGCGTGCGGGTATAGGGTGAATCACGCACGCTTGTAGAAAAACATAGTTTATCATTACAGTATTACCACCTAGGGTGTATACTGTGGTATTACTTATTTTTTCCAACTATACCACCTTAATTTGATGATCGACTTGAAAGGGTCGTGGTATCTTATCTAGTTTTTAAATTTCTAAAACAAAAATTAATGGGTACATAGCTGATATTACAAAGACACCACCAAAACAATTGCTTCGAAAGATAAGAACGATGATACCATCCATGAACGTATTCTTTTTTATACGTCCATGATACCATCACAATTAAACATGACTTGTGACGCATTCGTGAAGTTCTTACGTGAAATGAATATTTTTGTTGAAAGTGACTCACGTCTGTCTATCTCTGCTCGATATGCACGGATTCCAAGAACTCGCATAAAATTATCACACATGGGCCCACGCATATGGTGCCCATTCGAAAATAAACACTGAAAGCTAGAAATATTTACTCGTGAATATAAAAATAGTTTTACAATTCACCACACGTACGTTTTCTGAAACATGTGCCACATGGTCTGTTGGCTTTGGGTGTATTTATGGATACTGAAAGTAAACATAAATATTCAAAGTAAAGATAGTCAAATGTTTTGATATATTTAACCGTCGAATGAGGTATCTTACGATGGATTAGGAAAATGATTCCCAAATATAAACTTCTAACTGTCAAGCGGAAATGTACGCAATCTTGCGATGTGTAAGATCAATATATGGACCGATAGCCAGACGTCACTGAAAGCTCTCACGAACCCGAAAGTGACATTCAGACTGGTACGAGAATGCAGAGAAGAACTCAATGCCCTGTCAGAACACTACAAAATTACCATGTTATGGGTTCCAGGACATTGCGGCATCGTACTGAACGAAAAAGCTGATGAACTAGCAAGAATAACCGGGTCATCAACTCCATACATTGGCCCATAACCCGTACTCGGGGTTACATGCACCACGGGAAAGTATTCATTAAAGAACCGTCGAAAAAATAAATCTGAAAAACGACTCGAGATGAGTAGGAACCAAGTCAGAACAATAACGGGACTTCTCACTGGTAACAGACCAATGAGAGGATACCTGAGTAAAATGGGACTGTACAATGGGGAACTTCTCTGCAGTCAATGCGGTAAAGGGACAGAAACGGACAAACACTAATTAATAGAATGCGAGGCATTGGATCGCAAAAGACAAGAAATATTCGAGCAGCCTAGGCAGACTCCCGAATAATACAACAGCCAGCCGGTGAACAACCTATACAGACTGTTGCGGGGAATAAGAGCTAGGGAATGGGTGCTGTAAAATGAACTGGAATGAACAAAAAGCCCAGTAGGCTGAGGTGTAGCCGGTGACAGGACCTGGATCCAAGGAAAAATAAAACTGTCATAGGCATAATTTGAGTTGTGTCTCTATGTCTTCCATTATAAGAATGATTTTCCTCGAAATGAAAATATCCATAATGTCAAAACATTCAAAACTTGGCGGAATGACGAATTCCATGTTCTATTCGTCAAATACAAGGTGGGTTCCAACTCTCAGTCATACTTAGGACTCAGAGTATTCAATCATCTCCCGCGTGAGGTCAAAAATATTGTGAGCTTGAATAACTTCAAGTAAGTATAGGTTAAAACATGTCCTCATTGAAAAATGCCCCTATACACTGGAGGAGTATTTTGCTCCACATGTACAGAGTTAGTATTTCAATTTTATTCAAGTTAGTTCATCTCAACCACTTTATGTACTTTTGATTCTTACTTACTCGTTATTGTATATCTTTGTGTATTGCTCGTTTATAATATGTTCAACAATATTTTAGCACTTTCTTCATTCATTAGTGGCTCTGTCAGGTATATTTGACTATTTTTTAACTATTCCTATACATTTATATCTTGTCCATTGGAAAAAAAGTATTATTATTATTATTATTATTTTCATGGGCAATTCCAATTTTTTTTATCGCTTGGAGCGCACGAGAGGGAATCCCTATAATGTTCAAAGAACATCGTGCGTTTCTAGGGAGGATAGGGATAGGAGGTAGGTATTGGAATTTTTTTTGAACTTCTGGAGATTATATGTTGTTGGGAATACTTCCTCAGGCAATGAATTCCAGAGCCTAGCCGTTCTATTGATGAAGGAGTTTTGATAAAGTGCTGTTTCGACATCTTTCGAGGTTGACAACGAAAGGATGTGCTGACTGGGCTTGGTTCGTCTGACTGGTATTGCTAGTGAAGGGATGATAGCAGAGATTTCCGAAGAACATTTCAATTGAATATTTGGATGGATGCGCGGTCATATAATTGCTTCAGGATCCCTTCACACCAAATTGTATTTGCCGAAATAATTGATGAACAACTATAGAACGGCGAAGCTTTGGAATTATTTTCCTAACCTCCAGAAAATCGAAACAAATTCCAACACCTACCTTCTCTTCCTGTCCTCCCTGGGTATCGTCCATAGGCATTCACATCATGCTATTTTTCGTGTGAAAATTCGAAATAAAAGACAGTTCATCATTGAAGGTATATTTTAAATTTGAAAGTACCACATTTATGATAAAATGACAAGACTTTCTGTAGCCATTTAATATGAATGAAATAAATCTGATTGTACACTAATATACAGAAATAAAACTACAAATTATATATTACACTTGTAACTAATAATATTTGTAATATCAAAATAAATTCGAACAATCCATCGATTGTGGTATTTCCTCCATCATATAAGTCAAATTATTACAAAAATAATTTGTACATGAAAAACTACAATCGAAGATTTTCAAAATTGAGCGACTAGTTCAATCACAAAACCTAAAAAAATTGCAACCAAGATTAAGCAACTCTCAACCGATCCTGTTTCAGACGTTAAAGTCTTCAGACATGACCATATGATAGACATCAATAAATCACAATAAGCATTTATACAACTTTTCAGTCTACTTATGAATCCCATATATAGGAGTAAGAATTCCTAGATTCACACATTACATAAAAACCGTCCATTTATATTAAAATCTGAATAGATTACGAGATATATTTATATAAATATTCAGTTTGAGATTATCTACAAAACAATGGAATGTATTGTAGTTGTGAAAATAAATACCAAATGAATAGAGCCCCTAATATATAGAGAGGTAGTTTGTTTGAATTCTCATGAACCTTGTAAGTAGCCAATCAGTTCTCCTTCACTAATGAAAATAAAGTATAAGTATATTTCCTTATTATGTTCTCTCTCTCAATCATGAATCAAAAGGAATCAAAAAGGTGTTTCTTCTCACAAACTCACTACCTGTCTATAGTTCAAGGTTCTCTTATAGCGTAAATTAAAACAAATTTTTTTGATCTAATAGAAGAGGTAAGAAGTTAAAAAAATCATGAAATCAACTATATTTACATTGTATGAAATATTTTTTCTATCATAAATAAAACGTTGTAGTAATAGAAATAGAAAATGGATATTTTGTCATAAAAAACTAAATGATAGTCAGGTACAGTACACAGAGGCAAAAATACTATGTCTTGAAATTGTCTAGTCATAATATATGTTTGAATGCTATAGTACTTTTGCCTCAGTACCTTTAGAACTCTTGCACAATCCTATACTTACACATAAAACATACAATAGACAGAATCATGAGTATTAGTTAGGATGATATGCGGAACATTAATAAATACTTATATTTTGCCAATATTTAAAATCACTGGTTAGTGCTAGAAAAATATTCACACTGCCGAGACTTGGGTCTCTTCATCATCTGCACAAAAACAAAAAGAAACAACAATTACTGATCTTATCTTCCTCAAACAACTTACAGCTAGTTTGTACTTGTCAGTTTACTTGTCTCAGTCAGTCAGACCATAATTATGACCGTGTCTGATTCGCATGAGTCAGAAATGTCTTCACCTGAATAAAAACAATTGAAAAGCATAATTATTATGATTTAATTATCCACCAGAACACCAAACGGTGCTCTCTCACATTCCCCTGCAGTTAGACACAACTTATTTATTGTTAATGAGTTATAATACATTGAGTTAAAAAATATATTGTTAGTATAGAAACATTCAAATAATGGATAGCAATAATTATTTTCATAACCAGCGAGGGAAATTCAAGGGCGGTTATGATGGGAGGTAAAATATTGAACACAACCTCACTTTTCTGTTAAACATTGAAACACAACCTCACTTTTATTATTTGTTTACAGAGGAATCAAAGGATTGAAATTAATTCAAGCATGCCTATTCATTGTGCTATTGTACAATACACAAAAAATGCAGCGAGAGACGGAAGAATATGATTTTTCAGGTGAATAGTAATCTCACATAGTTTTCATTATAAAATTTTGTCATTTCTTATCAAAATTCCTTCTGCCACTTCTGCAATAATAGAAGCTAATACTGCTAATAGATTTAAAATGTCTACAACACACACGATCACATTTAGTCAGCATGTCAAACTAGTCCTCTCATTCGATTGCACGAATCCAATCTTCTTGCATTCTTTTAGAAATTCCACGAGTATTTCTATCAGCTCCTATTGCAGAAGGAATTCCGATGAGAACTCAGAGAAATTACCAAATTTCAAAATGAAAACTATATGTGAGTGACTATAGTTGGTACTTACTTTTAAATCATAATGTACCAACCGGATTCCTTCGTCTCCCGCTGCATTTTTTGTGCATTGTACAACAGCACAATGTGATGGCATGCGCGAATTAAGGAATAGCCGAAAAACACGATACGTATGCCAAAATATTTGTGTGTAAACAAATAAGGAAAGTGAGGTTGTGTTTCAATGCTGTGCCTCCAGCGTCGGTCATCTGACAGTTCTTGCACGCAACCGATGGAATTCTATATCGCAAGGAATCCAGGGGAATTCGATCGAAAACCCGGAAGCCCGTGGTAACACTGGTAATGGAGGGTAAAACCATAAAAAACTGCGCAGTAAGCGAAATCCCAGCGTTTCAGGACAAATATCTGAAATTTAAAGGGAAGATACCAAACTTTTTGGAAATGGGGATGGAGTTTCCTTCAGATGAATTTTCATAAAGTAAGTTCGATCGGAACAGGCCTCAGTTTTATGTCCACGCTGTACAGAATGGCGAACAAGAAAGTCAGTCCGTTTTATTTTCGAAACAAAGCGATTTGCAATTGGACGGGCTCAAAGTATAATGCGCTGTTGCAACATACAGTGTGTCCCACTTACCATGCTCACCATGGGTATCTTTTTAACGGTGAGAGATACGAGGTCGGTTAAATGACACCAAATGTGGAGTTTGTCAAGGCCAACTATAATGTGAAAAATATTTTGATGAAATCTATTCGTTTTTGTTTTATACGCAAAAAACAGATTTTGATCATTTTCATGTCTCCTCCGTAACTTCTTTATTTATGAAAATATTCGAATAGGAATTTCACATTCTCATGGCAGTTTTTCAAAGTGATTTCGAAAAAAATATGAAATTTATACCAACTCTTCTAGAATTTGAGATATAAGCACCAACTTTAGTTTTTCAAATGTAGGTCATAGCTCACTATGACTTGGTTACAAATAACTTTTTTTTCTCTTACAGATGATATGGCGCAGTAATAGTTTTGTGTTGATAACAACGGAGTTATCGTCAATTATACAAAAACAAAAAATTATTTGGAAGCCACCATCTTGAATTAATATATTATAACAAGAAAATCATGATCTCCGACCTCAAAAACCCCCACTTACCAATTTTGAATGTAATCGGACCAAATCTTGTCCGCCATCTTGGAGCAGCCATTTTTTTTTAATTTCAACAAAAATTCCATAATGAATTGTCACCGAAATTATGAACACCTGCCAAATTTCAAGTTAATCGAAGTTATGGAATTTTCGCTGAAATTTAAAAATATGGCTGCTCCAAGATGGCGGACAAGATTTGGTCCGATTACATTCAAAATTGGTAAGTGGGGGTTTTTGAGGTCGAAGATCATGATTTTTTTGTTAAAATTTATGTATTCAAGATGGCGGCATCCAAATCATATTTTGTTTTTGTATAAATGACGATAACTCCGTTGTTATCAAAACAAAACTATTACTGCGACATATCATCTGTAAGAGAAAAAAAAGTTATTTGTAACCAAGTCATAGTGAGCTATGACCTACATTTGAAAAACTAAAGTTGGTGCTGTTATCTAAAATTCTAGAAGAGTTGGTATAAATTTCATATTTTTTTCGAAATCATTTTGAAAAACTGCCATGAGAATGTGAAATTCCTATTTGAATATTTTCATAAATAAAGAAGTTACGGAGGGGACATGAAAATGATCAAAATCTGTTTTTTGCGTATAAAACAAAAACGAATAGATTTTATCAAAATGTTTTTTCACATTGAAGTTGGCCTTGACAAACTCCACATTTGTTGTCATTTAACCGACCTCGTATCTCTCACCGTTAAAAAGATACTCATGGTGAGCATGGTAAGTGTGACACACTGTATATTCTGCAACTATCTCAGAAAAAATATACGTTTTATAAAGAAACGAATTCGGAACGAAAATTGGTTAATCCAATTCAAAGTTATGAGGGTTTTCCCAGATGAAAGAAATATTTGCTTGTCTCACTTCAATTGTGGGGGCAGTTTAAATGAATAATAAAGAAAGAAACAAACAAAGACGAAGTTTTGATTGGAATAGTGGGGTAACGAATGATTGATTCTTTTATTCATGAAATAACTTCAACGCCCAAACATTATTTTTTCCTAGCAGTCTCGGTCTGTTATGTTATTGTTAGTCCAGTCCCAAACATTTATTGTGCAAAATAATGAATACGGCAACAACTACTCACCCTGATCTGTATCCGGATCGGTGTGATAATGATAACCTTGCGTCACGCCTTCGTGTGAATGTGCTCTACCTAACCTATGCATTCTCGCCATCTGTGCTGCTACCTTGTATGCAGGCGGTTGTCTTCTACCAGGACCTTAATAAAAAAAAAAAAATAGTTTTTTTCTGTGACGGGAAAAAAGTTTGGCATTTCATCTCTGTTGGCAGGTTATAAAATGTCACTTTTCATAAATTACTTTTTTCCCGTGGGAAAAAAGTGAGTACTTCTTTCCCGGATATATATCACATATATATACTCTGTTGATGGCTTTTGTTGTGCTATAGTTCCGAAAAATAAGTCAATAATACCGTCTCCGAGAAAGAACTGCAAGTCCTTTTATCTTCCATTCGACTTCGCGTTTTCGTATATTACTAAACAACTACTGAATTCGTAATTTTTCAAAATCAAATCACAGAATTGAACTGACAGAAGTGACATCAGATTTTTGATTACTTCAAAAGAATGATGAAGATGTCTATAAAACGCAGGTGTCCTTACTGTTAAAAACTTGAAATTTCACGTCGATAATTTTCAGATTTCGAAATAATGTAATATCTTCCCAATATTGATTCGTCCTTCCTTCTGTCACAGAAAAAAATAGTGTATTATACACGGGAAAAATATTAGATTTTAGCTCACGGTTTTTTGTCTCCCTCCGCTACGCGTCGGGAGACAACACAACCTGGAGCTAAAATCTACTACTTTTTTCCCTTGTATAATAAATAACTATTTTTGAATTCCAGTGTAGGCCGATTTGTCATTGATTATACATATTTTGTCTATTTTTTCTTGGTAATAGGAAACCCTAACTGGGTATTATTGGTATATTTACATCCAGATACCCTGAAATACAAGTATCAATTTTAGGACCCATAGTATTTCTATTTTATGTGAATGACCTTGATAAGTCAATTGATACATCTATAATAGATGGTATTCCGCAAATGACCTTTACTTGAATGTTGAACCAATAGACTGAATCCAAATTTGAAAAATGCACCGTATGCCTCTTTGATGACGCAACAAATTATTATATTACCATTTTTTCGTGCATCCATCGGAAAATGGAAAAACAAATGAAAATCATAACATCAAACTTTGAAATCCTTTCAATTCAATATATATCGAACACAAATGGAAAAATCGAAAATTATCAGAAGTGCAAAGTTATCCACTGGAACATTTCCTACAAATTATTACCCATAATTTCTTCCGTAAACCCAATAGTATAGAAAATAAGGTAAAAAATATGAAAAAAAAATTTGAACGACCCATAGGGTACCATGAAGATATATTAAAAAACAAAGATTATCGATAGATGAAGCTCATCGACTTCCACTGAACCATGAAATATTTTTTCCTTTTGTTGATTGGAAGATGGAACAAAAGTGTTGAAAATTTTATTCTCAGATAATTCCAAATATCTCGAAAACAACTGAAAATATCTGAAAATGTTATAGAACCAAAATTATTCCTTTTGATAGAATCTACAAAAAATCCGTATAACATTTTTCTCTGAATTCAATAGTTCATCCATAGAACGGCTAGGCTCTGGAATTCATTGCCTGTGGAAGTGTTCCCGACAATATATAATCTCCAGAAGTTCAAAAAGAATTCCAATACCTACCTCCTATCCCTATCCTCCCTAGGAACGCACGATGTTCTTTGAACATTATAGGGATTCCCTCTCGTGCGCTCCAAGCGATAAAAAAAAAAAAAAAAAAAAAAAAGATACGATGAAAAAACTAAAAAATTCACAAGTTCCTAATCACTTGCCAATAGAAAACAAAACAAAAAACAAAAGAAAGTAAAAAAAGCACACTCGACTGTCTTGATTTTTTTCTCATAAACTACGTACCTAGCTCACTCGACTGTCTTTATTTTTCGCCAAAATATGTTGGCATTGTTTTAACTTTCTTTTTTTTTTGTTTTTTTAGTCCCTATTGGCAGTCGAGTGGGCTAGGTACGTAGTTTGTGTGGAAAAACCAAGACAGTCGAGTGGGCTAAGTCGTTACGCTAAGTACGTAGTTTGTGGGAAAAATCTCCAGTTCTCTGAACTTTCATAGCGTCGTATACACATCTTGGGTGCCCAATGATAGTTTCAATATAAAAATATGCTCATGATATAGTGCCATGGCCTCTACTTCCATCTTACATGAGCAATGATAAAATATCATCTGCTTTTATAGCGTCGTATAAATTATCTGACCTCTATACTAATCTAATACCTAATGAAAACTACATCTATACTAATCTGATACCTTTTAAAAACTACGTACCTCAGTTGTTTTTTAATATTTGAATTATGTTTGTTTTGTTTATCTACTTCAAAAACCGGTTTTGTTTTTCAGGAATATTGCGATATGATGATGAAATAAACATCGTGTCCCATTTTGAATGCTCCTCTCTATATTTCTACTATTAGTCGTGCGATTCTTACCAAATTTGGACTGGTACGAGTATTCATCAATATAATCAGTTTTTCAGAGACAAACATCATTTTAGATAGTGCCGTTATTATTGAAATAAAATGGGGTCGATTCGTTATGGAATATTAGGAATTTTTTGGCACGCAGATTTTATCAAAGCTTTTTACACCTCATATTGAAACCATGCGAGATTTGTCTATTACCAAAAAAAAATACACAAAATGACAAATGTGTCTACATTATTTGTTCGAATGACTTCGAAGACATGTTATGAATATCAAAACGCCAACAAAACTTCCGTGTAGCTGACGATTCTGAACATTTTTTTAAATACGAGAAAAAGTGGATGTGAGATGGATGGTGGAAGACTGAAAAAAACAAAGCGAAAAGCAGTGAAAGTGCATGAAAAGCGAAAGCAGGTGCCAACAATGTATAGCCACAATTATTGTTTATTAATCAATATAAATTAATATGCAGAAATAAATTGCATAAAAATGTACTGGAGATATGATATCAAACAGTAACCTGGGTATTGAAACATTTGTCAAGTTCGTTTCACAAAAAATGTTAGAATACCGTGTACTATTTATTTATTACATGTATGTATTCGTTAATTTGTTTAGTATTTTGCCCTACAATGAAACCTCATCTGCCTTCATCAAAGAATTAGGAATATAATTTTTTTACGAACAATTCTTAGGTAATGCTACATTACCTCATATGTATAGAGGTGCCATATTATATACTTTGCAAGTATGTATCAGACAAAAGCAATTGAATTTCAAAACTAAAATTCTAGATGCATATTTTTCCAAATCAATCATGCTTCAGATATACTGGTGTGGAAACAGCTACGTGATATCATCCATCAACAAAGGAGGAGATCTCCAAAGGTAGGCCTTAGGATAGAACTCGCTCAAATCGAATTGGAAGTGGATATATTATGAATTTAATAAACATAAAACACTTCACTGAGGAAGATCAGTCACTTTTCCGATTTTTTAGCATCCATTTCCACCCAAAACATTAAATTTTGAAATTTTCGTCTTGAAATATATGTAAAATGCTCTTCTGATCATAATCAGGTAGCTCTCTGTATGTGTAGCATCGTTTTTATCACGAAAATAGAAATTTCATGTAAGAGCTACTCCTCTTATTGAAAAAACAAAATTTCCAATCGGAGCTCAGAAATGGAATTCTGATTTCGTTTTGCTTGAGAACGAATTCTTATTTTCTTGGACTAACTTGGAATTTGAACTCTTTAAATGATGTGAGAGGAATGAAATTGATGTTGAAAAATCAGACAACCTTCATTCATTACTGCAGGATAAATCAATTAATTCATAGTATTCGTAGTACCGCGTCTAATTCCATTTTCTGCCTTTGGAGATCTTCTGCGTTGCCGTTTCCACACCAGCTTGGATATGAGGTTTTGTTCAGGAGGGCAAAGATAAGAACATCAAGACATTATTTCGTCAAATCACTAATTACAGTGGCTATAACAGACCAAACTCTACTGGACTTACCATTGACATTACGCAAAGCATGGGGTAAGGGGGGTAAAACGGCCACAGCATGGGGGCAAGGGGGCATAGCACCAGTACGGTTGGGAAACCAGCCTATCACCAATGACAGACAACTAATGTAACACCATAATGGACGAACACAATATGCATTTCTTATACAGTGTGACCCACTTCTAATGGAACCACCCCTGTATCTTACGTAATCGTTGGGTAAGGATCCTGAAATTTGCTGGAGCGAGAGATATACCAAAAATGCACTCTATGACCAAGTGGGGCCATCTTCAGTGATATACACTGCTCGCCAACAGCCATGAAACTACCCCAATTTCCGGAAAATGATATTAGGAGTCAAAATAGGTCGAAAATCACTTCAGATTTGGAATCAGGACGCCCAATTCACTAACTATTCAAATTTTTCCTGGAAAATTTTCAGTTCGGAAAAATGAAATTTTGTCGCATTTTTTATGGAAGCACCCCCGTATCTCACGTAATTATTGAGGTAGGGTTCTGAAATTTGCCGGAGGAAGAGAAAGTCCAAAGATGAAGTCAATTACGTGAGATACCAGGGTTCTTCCATAAAAAATGCGACAAAATTTCATTTTTCCGAACTGAAAATTTTCAAGGAAAAATTTGAATAGTTAGTAAATTGAGCGTCCTGATTCCAAATCTGAAGTGATTTTCGACCTATTTTGACTCCTAATATCATTTTTCGGAAATTGGGGTAGTTTCATGGCTGTTGGCGAGCAGTGTATATCACTGAAGATGACCCCACTTGGTCATAGAGTGCATTTTTGAAATATCTCTCGCTCCAGCAAATTTCAGGATCCTTACCCAACGATTACGTAAGATACAGGGGTGGTTCCATTAGAAGTGGGTCAAACTGTATGTAATAGATACTACCAGTTAATACATTCAAACAGCACACACAAATTGGGATTTTCTTCATTATTCTTATTTCAATATATTTTTAATTAGAATAAAGCAGAAAATGTCATTGCGAATTTTATAGTGAAAAATGTCCACTCTTTTTTGTCTCAAAAATAATATATTATGATATGTTCAATATAACATCTTTCAAATAACAAAATATAATATGAAACATATACGTACGGAAGAAGCTCTTTCAAAATATACAGTATTATACCTAAAACGTGGCTACTTTGCCAGAAAATCGGGTTTTTCGCGAATAATTATTGAACGGTGAATGATATGTATTGGCCTGAGCATGTTCAATTTTCTTTATACGACCAATAGATTTAATCTGAAGTAGTTATGGAGAGAGTATAAACACAAAATTTCTATAAAAATGTGTTTTAATTTATTTTACATGTGATAAACCTCATAGAAAGAATTCAATACCTCATAAAAACGAGTTCTCGAGTTGAAAATATAACATATTAAAAAAAACAGTGTAACTTTGAGGAGTGAAGGGGCACCCATATTCAAGCCGTTTACGATTCTATAAAGGACATACATACAAAATCATCAATTTTTATATACAGGGTGTTTCTTAAGTACGTGTAGAAAATTCAGGAGCCTGTTGCTGACGTCAATTATTAAATAAATAATAATTCCCATTCGCATTTCAACATATGGCAACTGTCTGTGGTCTGCCCCTACTTATGAAATCGTGACGTCAGCTTTTATTTGCGGTAAATTTCTAGCCGTTTGAAAATTACCGTGGCATTTTTCATGATTTTAAACACTTCAAAATCGACCAAAAAAATCTAAGAAATGATTCTATTCAAGAATTTAAAAAAATCCACTCTCCTATTCAGCACTTTGAGGTATTGCACCGTGGCTTGTTATAGAGACGTTTGTGATGAGGAATATAGTTGAAATGGTCACACAAACAAGAAAATCTCTCGACAATCTACACACACACACATACACACACAGCCTGGGATATGTTCCGTTAATCAACCGAGGTTACCGATGCCTTCTGGGCCGGTACCAACAATTTTGACAGTGGTTACCTACTGGTGACTATTATAGTTTTGATCGTTTTTTTTTAGATTCATCCTCTTCCAGTATTTGATTTTCAATTATGGCACCCACAAGTCTCTAATTCTTGTGCAAAGTATGCACAAGCAAAGGATGTAGTGTCCTGATATTAGTCTAAGATCCGAACCTAAATCGACCTTCACCGAGCTGATAATAGAACGAAATATATTTTATAATGAATTTAGTATATTAGAAAACATATTAAAAATGGGTTCGCTAAAAAAATCCTGGGCGGACTATTTTTAATTATTTTTCGAAAAATGATTTTTAATTAAATGTTGCAATATCAGGATAATAATTGATTTTTGTCCTGACTGATAGTGTAAAACGTATAGAATGTGCAGCCGTTGGGTTGTCTACTATTTACCTGGGCGAACTACTGGGTTGTCAGGTAACACAGGTATATCAATGCCAGTTACTTTCACTGGATTGGATAATTAAAAAAAAATTATATCAGGGGTTTGCGAATTTTAAAGATTTTAATTTCAACGCGCGTGGAAGTGTGTGACAGAGAGATCCGAGGTTAGTATACTGTGTAATAATAAAGGACCCAACATCGCAGTCGCTTGTGATGGGACCCTGAAAAGTAGAAAGTGTGCGAAGTCAAATCCTGAAAACTATGGTTGGCATTTTGATGATTTCTTAAAACCAACAGGTTTTATCGGAGATCAAACTCCTTTGAAAATCCAGGACATTGTCGAAATGGAAGCAAATGAGGAAGAATCTAATGAATCAGACGGATTCGAGAGTCAAAATGATACTTCTGATGAATCAGATATTGAACAGAGAATATTTATTAGAATTTATTTTTCATTAATATTATTTTTGTATTTATACTGTTTTTAATAAAATTTCAAATCGTAATACAAGATCTCTAGTCTATCTTTTTTGTTATTTCTTAATTTAAATTTTTGGCGGTCCACTTTGTTTCTATTTCCAGAAAGAGCAAAAATATTTCAAAGTAAGTAATTGATATTTTTATTGTCTATTATAGATTACAGATATATTATTATGGTTATAACGCAATATATTGATATTATATTGTTTTTATAGGGCTAATTGGGGTAATCACAAACAGGGGCAATCTTGAACACGTTCAATATCATTTGAATTTGGCGCCTACGAATGACGCCGAGCAACGACAGCGACACTGCAACCTTCATCCGCATTCCACTGTTTACACCGATTGTTTTTGCTATACCGGTTCAGCTGAAAAAAAATATTTTCGTTCTTGCTGTATGAAAAGTTGTTGAGCAGATTCGAAGTGATCACTTTTTTTCGCAAAAAAAAGTAGAAATTGGTCAAGGTAAGCTGTGTTATATCTATATTTGTATTGATTATAAGTAAACTAATAGCTCATTGGCATATTTTGAGGTTATCTATCACGGACTGACCAGTTCACATGTGTTTACAATTGCCCCAGTAAAATAAAAATTGGGGTAATAGTAAACTGATTTTTGGGGGAATTGTGAATATGTTTGATTGTTTGGGGAAATTGTAAACACAATAAGACATAACCTAATCAAACCTTTGTACTTATGAGTAGAATAAATCCATTTCTTGCAAAGTATTTTGTTTCAATATCCTTGGGGGAATTGTAAACATTAGTCGAAATATCATCAGTTCAAGAACGAAATCACATCGGTTTTGTTCTATGTTCACAAATACCCCCTATAAAGTTGAACAGGACTCATATTTACGACATACACGATGTTTACGATTGCCCCAAAATTTCCAATAACGTTTTTTTTTTCTTGGGTAATTGTAAACATCTAATATTTTGATAAATTCTCTGACCTCATTCTTGCTATGCAAATCATATATACACAATACTCCAAAAAAACTGCACCCAAAAAAATTATGAGATAAATATTCAACTTTACATTTTAACAGACTTCAAAGTTTCTTTTGTAAAAATCGTTTACCAATACCCCAACTAGCCCTATATTAGTATTATATTAAATATATTTAATTATTATGTATTTAATTAATTTTTTTTTGCTACTGAAATATCAGTTGCTCCAAAATAACACGAACTGTTAACTATATGAAGGGTGGTAGAGGTACCTCTTCCCTCCATAGTTTGCACACCGAGCATGCACACTTTCTACTATTCAGGGTCCCATCACAAGCGACTGCGATGTTGGGTCCTTTATTATTACACAGTATACTTACCTCGGATCTCTCTGTCACACACTTCCACGCGCGTTGAAATTAAAATCTTTGAAATTCGCAAACCCCTAATAGGACCGGAATTTTCGCAGACAACCCTATATCAACGTGTTCGCAATCAAACAGCGCTTATGATGATATAATTTTTTTTAAATTATCCAATCCAGTGAAAGTAACTGGCATCGATATACCTGTGTTTACCTGACAACCCAGTAGTTCGCCCAAGTAAATAGTAGACAACCCAACGACTGCACATTCTATACGTTTTATACTTTCAGTCAGGACAAATTTTTTTTATTATCCTGATGTTGCAACATTTGATTGAAAATCATTTTTCGAAAAATAATTAAAAATAGTCTGCCCAGGATTTTTTTAGCGAACCCATTTTTAATATGTTTTCTAATATACTAAATTATTGATAAAATATATTTCGTTCTATTATCAGCTCGGTGAAGGTCGATTTAGGTTCGGATCTTCTACTATATAGGAAAAACGTCATCAAACTGAAAATATTTCGAATATTATTAATTCACCTCAGTAAACGAATCTATCGGAACTTGACGCAATAATCAAAATGGGAATATTGTTCTTCGTTGTAATTTGTAAATCGAAGAATCAAACCGAAAAACACAACACGTCAAAGTCAACTCGAACTTATTGAACTTACCAGTGAAAATTCACGGTCGTTCTGGTGACAATGAACATTTCATATTTAGGGAACGAAACACTACTAACCGAAATAACCAAGTTGATTTACGGAACATACCCCTGAAAAAAACAGGTAAAAGAAAATCAACCCAAAAAGTACATACCTGGTATAGGAGGCGGATGCTTCGGCGGACTCTGACACCTCGACTGGTACGCGTGACTGTCATTCGAGCTGTTGGTCACCTGACTGAGGGTGCTGTGACCCGAGTCTGAAGAGGTGACCGAACCTGCGTATCAATAAACATGCCACCTTTCAGATACCGTGCTCGAGATAGGTAGATACGATATCACAGAGATGCACAAAGAGATCGCGCGTGCTACCCCCAGTGGGTGGAAGTGAAAGTAAAGTAGGGCAAGCATACAAACACCATTCGGGAGAGATGCTAGGGTGGGTTGGAGGGAGATGAAACGACGGATTACCCCGAGTTACTACACTGTTTACTGAATGATTCAAGTTGGAGATGACTGTACTGGCATTGAATATTAAATTTCTTGAAGTATTTAGCACTGCCCTAAATGCTAGTTGAAACGAATTATTTATGATTATGGTTGAGCGTTCAGCCGCCATAATGTCAATGGGTTTACGCTTCCCCCTGTAGATCTGAAAACTCAAGCTTCAATTTTATAACTATTAATGTTCACCCTTATTTATATACACGGATGGCGATGTCATGAATACTACAGAGTTTTGTTATACAAATCGAAGCCCTGAGGGGGCAGAACGACGATCTAGCTTTCATAGCCATCTGGTGGTTTAAGTGCAAAGGTGTTAAGGTAGATTCAACAATCATACCTTGCGAGTAAGTCGTGCATATAGACCCCTACGTCTATATGCTTACAGAAAAGACACCATGTCAGAATTCTGTAGACTATCGCAACACCTGTAATTCTTTGTTATACAATAGAGAAAGTAATGAAAAACCTTCAATTGTCAGACTAAAATATCGAAAATATATAATTCCGTTATTGAACTACTACACGAGCTGGGGACTAGCTTCATATATCTTCTGGCAAAGTCCTGCATGATCCGGCTCGAAGGACCATATCGGTAAACTATCTCATTCTCGAACGATAATTACAGAACATGAGAAAACTCCAGAATCGGACTAGTATTTTTAATAGTTGATTTCAGAATTGGGTGAAATATTCAGGTAAACCACTCCATTTGTCAAGCAGTTCAATTTTTTACCCAGACCGATAACAGTCAGATGCAATGAAGATGGCACACATAGGCGGCGATAGCATCTATAGTCACTTCAGCAATCATCATTCAACCCCGTATTTACAAAAAGATTCAAGACAAACCAGAAGATGAAAATAGTGTTGGTGTGTGGTAAGACAGTGTTATGCGAGACAGTTTTGCATAGCGTATATTCTTCAATTTTCAATCGAAATAAGCATGTCTTACCTGAAGTAACGGTCTTTCTCAATGGCAAGTTACTGAGTGACGTGACACTACTGCTTTCCGCCGAAAGAGCAACAGAAGGCAGAGGTGTCGGAGTATCTGAATGAGACCTTTCGTGCATCGCTCTACCACCAGCGCCAGAGCTGCCTGAGCTGTGAGATCCGTAACTTGAGTAACTGCCTAAAAGAAAACAAAGATAAATTATTTGGAAACAGCATGGATGAACTCGAACATTTTGCATTTGATATAAGTTGGAGCATCATCTTTGATTACAAATGAAGTTGATACATTTCCAAAATTGCAAACCGTTCACATACACATAAGATTTGAATGTTCTTCCATCGTCGTTCTAAATAAAAACCTAGTTAGTAGGCGGGAGGAATGAATAATATCGTCCGTTTATTGACCCAAAATTATTCTACCTGTCAATGACGCTAGTTTACTGAAAGCTCATTTGTTTTAATCGAATATTGGTCAAAATTGACAATTTATGTTGAAATTATCAAGACGTCACCTCAGACAAATTATAATATTAATGTGAATGTTCAAGTTCAACTTAGTTTATTGGTTTGTTGTTTGTTTGATTTCAGTGTTCCATTTTGCACTTCTGCAAGATGTATGTGAATTGTTCAGTACTCCTTTCTCAACGATAACGTGAATTTGAGGCAACATGCAATGACTTCTCCTTGAGCTGCATAGGTATTAATTATTTTATAATAATTAATTGATATTCCAGGAATAAAGATGAAGTGAATAATGTTTTATCACAGAATGGAGAGTTTCCAGTTCCTACTCAAATTCAAATAACGTCAATGAAGCTAGAATTTGCATAAACAACAGTTTCTTCTTTATGCATCCTGCTTCGATTATTTGTGTAAGTACTTGCAAGACAGAAAAGTGAACTCGATAGGAATACAAAAAATGTCTAGGGTTTGGATAACAACTGAATAACTTAGAATAGTGGTTCGAAATGTGGTCAATAAGGGCGATTTCCTCATTTTTTTTTCATATACCTCTCGCCTACTAACCAGGTTTTTATTTAGGACGACAATGGTTCTTTGGGTATTGAACCTTGAAAGATTTGAAAAAAACAACACATCGTCTCTCAGTCATATACAGAATCATTCTGTATATAGTATGAATTCTTCATATTACTGTGGAATGTTTAGGTTATAGCATGCAGATGAATGTGAATAAGTTAATCGAGAAGCAATAATATTAAAAACGTAAGTAGGTATTGATTCAACGTGATCTATATCAACATACGGAAAAATTGTAGAGCAATCCAAGGTGATTTATAAAAAATTAGATTTTTTCTCAGTTTGTCAAGAAATATAAAAATCTCGCCATTCATTCGGAAATTCCCGGAAAAACCAATTTAATGTAGATAAATTTGATATCTTAACAAAAAACAATTTATTGTATAAATCTAATTGAGTCGATCATTTCCACTCTTTATTCACTATGATTGATAATAGCAATATTCATTTTACCTTATTACATTCTCACTGCCGAGATCAATTGAGTTAGAAGGAGGTGAGACGGATCTGAGTTGTCGATTGAATAAAAAGAACAGAATTACTAGAATTAATCCAGTCTCACCTTTTTCTCACTACAACACCAGATGAATAGCAAGCTCAGTTGGACTGAGGGGGGAGAAATTGTCTCAATAAGTTCTTAAGACAACTCACATCAGAGTGCTATTGAGCTGCACTGAGAATCTTGGTTAATCTCAGTCAAAGTTGGTAAAAACAATATTACTATTATAGAATATACACATTGCACACAGTGACTAGTGTTCGAGAATACAATAGAAAAAGGTTTCGCCTACAAACTAGGTTTTCATATTCGCGGGAATCAATGTTACCAGGTGGCGCTCGGTTCTCATCGTTCCATGTCAAAGCCACGTCAAAACTGGGGGAAAACAAACTCAATCCTTAATCCAATTAGTGCCATTAGCTTGTGTACTGGTAAAAGTGATGTTTTTACATTTCTTGACATTTCTGTTGTAGATGTTCTTTTGGTAGATATTTTGCTCTATTCAGATGGGAAAAGCCGACCAGTAGTGGAAGGAGAAGCAGTTCTCCGTGCTAATCATGTGATTTTGTGTGAGGCAGAAGACTTCAACAAAAGGCACATTTTTGCACTTTGTCTAAAAACTTCGGCGATGAAATCTTCCCCACATGAAGTAAAATTGAAGTTGGGGTCCAGAGGAACTCCTGTAGAACAATGGATTTGTATTTGTTTCTGCAAAGCAGGACAATCTGGGTATTGTTAGCTGTTCTTTTATATGTCAATTTCGTCATAATTAGTTTGAATTGTTTGAACTATCTCCAATTCTTCACCCGTTCACTGTTCACTAAACTGATAAAAATGTAATAACGTAAAAAATTTAACCAACTCAACCATCATCACTACCAACAGTGCCAACACTTTATGTCATTGACAAGTTTGACTACAGCTAGAGCAAGCTGAATGCAATGTAGTCTATGCACTTAATCCATAGGCAACAGTTTGTTTTCCCCCAGTTTGAAGTTCGTATTATGTAACCTAGATGGGGGGTTGTGGACACATTGTTTTCGTAATGTTGATGTAAATCACGTGGTACAAATGAATGAAAGTTAATAGTTACCTGTGGCGCTAGGTGCCCTCCTAACGGCCGGACTGGGTTGCGTACCGATTCCGTGTACAGGGGGCACACGCGGTTGATGCGGCCTAGTTTTATTCGGTTCCGATAATGCTAATAATTTCCGTACGGCTTGCGGTGACGCGGAACCTGAACAAAATATTATTCGTGAAATTGTGGAAATCGCAATGATCAGCATTATCGGGTACCGATATCGGTTGGTTGAGTCAAGCTGATTAATGTTTAAAGGCAGAGTATCGGGTCTGATCAGTTTATACACATAAAAACCTAGGCAGCAAAGTAATGAAATTGGGGATTTGTTATTTATAACTAACAACCCCTACTTCACAGCAAATAACTGGTGGTCTTTTCTTCTATTTCTTTTTGTTCAGCATAAATAATATTATACGTTTTGATATTTGAAGTGCATTTTAAGTACTGAATAATACCATCAATATGGGATAGACACAAAAGATATGCTTGCAATAATTGAACAGGAAGGAAGTATTAGATACTGGAAAATAGCCAAACAAGTATTTTTTGCACAATATCATATGAGTAGTTAAATGTTGTTAGTGATTATAGTAGATTGATAACGGAACAGTAAATAATTCAACGAAGAATCGTATTATTACTATTCTTCTACAGACACCGATAATGACTAATCAATATTATGAATTATGAGATGATGAAATTAATAGATGAATCATCCAGTTTTTAGTAAAATGTTAAGAATTTTTATGTGTAAGATAACATTCAATATGAATTGTTTGGTTTTTTTGATAAGGCATACTAAACAATGGAAGTATTGTCACACCAAAGATAGCAGATACAACTAACTGTTCATGATGCCATTTCATTTATGAATAGGCGGATGTATGGACTGTTATTGGATGTTTCATATTCACAATATATTTTTGATTGAAATCATTGAATAGCATCACTCAAAGTGAAGTATAATTATGTTTCAATACATAACAACCAACTCAATATCGCACAAACACATATTTACAGAAATCGCGATTTATTCAATGAATATGTATATCAATGGCATACCCTCAATTCTATGTCCATGAAATTTCGCAGAATTATCCCCACTATTTTCCATATCAATCGTTAATTCGTATTTGGTGTTTGTCATATTATTTTTTTCGTGATATTTCATTATTCCCAACTTTCTAAACCATTCATTTAATGAGTGAGCACCTGAATTATATTGGGTTTTCCTGGAGATAATCAGCTTTTGAGTTTTTTCATCATTGAGTTTCAAGAAATTGGCAGAGATTCAGCTAGAATCGAGAGACCAATTAAATCTGTAGAAGTATTGATGAGTGACGTATCATCTGCGAAAAGAATCGTACTAGTTTCTTCCAACATATGCTGACAGATATCATTTACATAAATGATGAAAAGTAAGGGTCCGAGGACAGATCCCTGTGGAACACCATGGGTCACGATTCTGAATTCAGATGTAGTATTATTTATTTTGGCCAGTTGTTTTATCTTTTTCAAATATGAAGACATTAGTTCGAGAGGTGTTTCCCTGATCCCGTAATACGATAACTTTTCCAGGAGGAGGTCGTGTGAGACACAGTCGAACGCTTTGGACAGATCGCACATAGAAAGGATGGAATGTTGTTTTTTATTCCAGTCCCTCGACAATGTCTCCCACGCCCTTATTGTGGATTTTTTTCGACGAAAAACAAATTGATTTTTTGATAAGAAGTTATTTGAATCAAAACAGAATATTAGTCTATCTTTCAGTAACATTTCCAATATCTTAGAAAATGTATTTATTATTGAGATTGGACGATAATTGTTTAGAATCTCTGGATCATCTTTATTGAATATCGGTAAGACTCTCGGTAAAAGTCTCTTTGATGAGCAACGCATTAACGTCAAAAACATCTTCAGAACCAGAAGTCGACTCACCGAACTTCGCCGTCGGTTTCCTCTCGTCGCTCGCGCTGCTCGTGCTGCTCGTCGTCGATGGCGCCGGCGAGGGGTGGCGCTTCGGCTTGGCTGCCCCGGGCCCCGCCCCGCCGCCCCCCGTCGCCTGGGCGGGCCCCTCGCACTCCAGCGACATCTCGTGCAACTTGGACTCGTCCACCTCGACGCGCAGGTTGTTCAAGTAGGCCTTGACGCGGCGCACCATCTGCGATTCCTCGAACATCTTTTTCGGATTGGGAGCGGCCGTGGATTTTTTTCGGCGTTTTACCGTCGCTTGCCCTGAAAATCGATCGATTTTGATTCATCATAACTAGAGTTCCTACATGTACTTGACACTGCTGTTTTGACGTTTCTTGTATATTATAGTACGAACACTATACCTTTTCAACTTCAATTTCGGAATCGGTAAGTTTTATTTCGGAGAACTTAAACTCAATTTCAGAATCGGTGAGTTGAAATTCAGAAAAAGTCCATTCAATTTCAGATATGGTAAGTTGTATTTCAGAGAATAAATCCTTATATTTGTTTGACATATTTTTATTTGCATGTGAAAAGAACAAACGATGTTCAGTATATTGAAACTTTGAAAAACCTTTAAATAACATATACTAAACTCAATCTTCAATAATTAATCTATACAGTCATGTCTTCTATTCGAATCGCAGAAGGATAGTGGCGTTGCACATGATTTAAAAGAATTCAAACACTTATGAGGTATATGTTCTCATTGAATGACCTGAATATTATTTAAGACATCACAGTCTGAATTCTATTTGGTTAAGCGATCTGTTTGGATTCCCGGCTATGACCCTTTGGTGATGCTCTTGCAAGAAGCTCTTCACTTCTGACTTGAAGGTATTCCATAATATGTTCAATTATTGGGTTCAACCAATGTAATGTGCCAATCTGCAAATAAGAACATCTTGAAATCCTTCCGTCATGCAAATCTCCTCTATATATTTTTGAACTACCACTATGTTATCTGTAGGATGCCCATTTTAAACGCACGCTCCTCATCATCATCCTATGAACTAAGATTCATACAGTGACTCATTCAATTCACGATAGTGAATGTGTAATCATGATTATTTATTTCAAGTTGAACTTCTCTTTCTGAAATTGAACTAACCAATTCTGAAATATAACTTACCATTTCTGAAATTGAATGAACATTTTCTGAAATTCAACTCATCGATTCTGGAATTGAGTTAACCATTTCTGTATTTGTGTATCAATGGCTGTTAATAATCGAGATATTCAAACGTGCGGGCAAAGCGAACGCGTTGAGTTATCCCCACCATTCGGGATTTCATTCATTTATTCGTGTTCGGCGTTAGGATTGTTAGCGTTCAATGTTCGAGATCATTGATCGCCTTATTTAATTGTGCGAATTTATCGCCATATTGATATTCGAGTTGATCGCATTCCATTGGGAGTGGAGGCGGCCGTGGATTTTTTTCTGCATTTTACAGTCGCTTGGCCTAAAAATCGATCAGTTTTGATTCATTATATCTTTCGACGAGGGCATGTATTCATTTATATAAATTGAGTCAGTGATTTGATTCGTAAAGCTAACGCGTTGAGTCATCTCCAATACCATTTTTCCTCGAAGTTAACCACACAAACCGGGTCAATCATAAGTTAAACAGTCAATTTTCCTCGAAGTGTATTCCAAATTATGACGCAATACTTAACCAACTACACAAACCAGCTCACTGAGGTAGTTCATTCACGGCTTCTGATTGGTCACTGAATTGGTATCTCACTCTTGTTGTGATAATCTGAGAATATAATTGATAAAATATAAAATAACTAGCTCTTTTAATGAGATAATTATGGATTCCTAGGAAGTATTTGTGAATGGAAATTCCTACCATGATATTGCTGAGAAAAAATTGATTAATTGGAAATAGTACTTACCTATTTTCAATTAATAAATTATATCTTTCTCAGCAAGTCACAAGTCCATAAAAAAACTTGCCTCACAGAGGCATATAGGGGGAACGAAATTATCTTTAAAAAACACCTTAGAATACGAGACAATTTGTCACAGAACATACTTGGAAAAAATCAAATGAAAGAAACAAGCTATTCGCGATAGAAAATAAGGGTACGCCACCTATCGGAGTGCTTGAAAGCTGTCAAATCGGCCTGTTTACTTTACTTTTATTGGTTCACTTCTGTTTTTTGTTTGTGCTTATTGGTCTTATCATCAAAACAAACCAATCAGAAGTGTTGTTGTTGTTGTTGTTGTTGACGTCAGGTACGGCGACGTGTTATTTTCTATCGCGAATTAATAGCGTGGTAAAAACATGATTTTCAACCAAATGTTTTCTAATGAATCATTGTTGTTTAGCATATTTACCTTGACAATGATATTGAGAAGAAGCAGTGGTGAGCTGATTGAGAGCCACCATGGCATTGCTGGGAGGCTGTCCACCTAACTTGAGCATGGTGAGCAGATCGTACGGACTGCTGCACATGTTGCTCAGCGATCGCACCTCTTTCGCTATCATCCGCAATTTTTCGAAATTTATTAGGCCTTCCACTTTGGAATCGTTGCCCAAATGGATGAACGTCAAGTCTTTCTTCACCACCGGGTAAAAAGGAATCTGCAATTGCAACAAATATAGTATATGACTGATTACTTCGGAGTATGTCGAATACGAGTAACATTTAAGGTTGATATAATTACAAATGGTCGGATCTAATACAAGTCACGACAGCAATGGGGGCCCACAAATAGGTACGTGGAAAAAACATAATTAGACTTACAGTATGCGTAAGTACCAGATACGACTAAAAAAATAGAAACAAAAAGTGAACAAATGTGATGATGATCAACATAATTATTATTTAAAGGAATACACTTACGATTGGAGGTTGTGTCTGTTCAGCGCTGACTAGTTGACGATACTTGCTCATGTTTCTTGAAGGATCCATGAGCTGTTGCAATTCCGAGAAAACGCGCTGATACTTTCCCGGTAATTTATCCCAACTTTGTCTTAACCTCGAAACGGCCCCGTGTCCCAAACCGCTGACTATGGCGAACATCGAGTTGAAGTTTTTGCATTCTTTACATTGTCCTGAAAACATAACATTTTTCTTCAATGATCTCTTTATTATTTTTTATTGTATCCAATTTTTTTTAAGATCAAAATGAATGAATATACTGAAAACTGTGACTCAAATAACATTTTGTTAAAAGAAGGTCACACTTCATATCAGAACAAGATCAATGGGGTCACAGAACAAAAGAAATAACCTCAAAATCAAAGTTTTTATAATTCCTAGATATTCGGACGCCGGGGACTTCCTGGATGATACAATAATCGATAAGGACAAAAATGGTATCAAAATTTAATGAACATAATCTGTTTTCAGTGGTAGACGAGTTTAGCTATATTCAAGGTTGGCAATGAATTGCTGAACTCGTCCATCGCCGATACTCACTTGCCACCTTGACGAACTGCTTGATGATCTTCATCCTCCTCACCGGATTGTGCTCCGAGCACACCTCGGATACCACCCAGAACGTCTCTTTGTTCACCAACGCCGCGAACCTATCCAACATCGGCTTGCCGTACTTCGATTTTAGCTCAAAGAGGTCGTCGATGTACTCGGTCGGCTCGATCTGCCTGAAGATGCTGAAGTCCTGCAGAGTGAGCTGGATGGCCACTTCGACGGCGTTGAGTTGCAGGAAGTGAACGGCGCTCTCTCGGACCAGCTCGGGCGCCATTTCGTCAGGTACTAGACAAAAAACGAGACTAATAGCGAATTCAACTGGATTGCACTGACACGATCAATATTTAAATTATGAATATTCGACTGGTATGTTTAGGACACGTGCTGTTGGATCCTAAGGCTGGATCAAGCTAGATCTTATTAAATAGAACAAGCAAGACTAAGGACTAGGCGTACCTAAGGTTTCGGTTATTCCGTTGGTTTTCAGGTAATAGCGACTGCTGAGGCCGATCCGTTCGGCCAGGTTCTGCAGATCGTCTTGCAGACGTTTCTGCTTGATGGTCTGGTTATCGGTGACGGAGACCTCGCAAAGGCTGAAGTTGCTGCTCGGGTCCGTCATCCCGAATTCCTGCAGGGCGAGCATCACCACTTCGTGAGCGGTCGTCTCCTTATGAACTAGTAGGTACTTATAGCTTTGATCGGGTCTGTATACCTACAATGCATGAAATTGAAAGATTATCTAACCAATAACGAAACAGCATAAAAACTGACATCACTATTTATTCAACGCATCGCAAAATGGCTGCCATGACGTTATATTTGAAATGAGCTCTGAAATTCAACAATTTTGAACAACCATAGACTTATTATTTACATAAAAAAAGCGTGAGTAGTGTTGCAAAAATTCATTTGAGTTTCTAACCACACAGTGGAGTAATTGAATGCCAATAGTTCATTATCAATCCACTCGCCCTTTTCAAATATTTCATCATTTGATAATGAAAAAAAAAAATCAAGTGCCTACTCCCAGTGATCTGGATGAGCTATTAATGTGAGAAAATTCAGTAAGTAAACAATATTATGAAATTATTCAGTTAGAGTGATGGTGAAATAAACTCATCCGGTTGGTGAAATGAATTTGAATGAATGAATATTCCTTACTTTCAAAACATGTTCAGGATAATCAGCACAGCGAAGGTCGTCATAGTAAATTGACATCAAATCTGGGTTGCTTTGTGACTGGTACAGGTTTGTACCCAGATTGGAAGGAGGGTTGAAGCTGTCAACTTGGTCCTGACCCATACCAACACTAAAACAAAATCGTAGTTTCTATTAGAAAAATAAATTCCAAGTTGCTTTCAAAGTATCACTCTCTATTCTAGAGAGCTTTTGCATGGTTTTGTTTTGGAAATACTCAACGGCAAAAAAACGGCCAGAAAGAAAACAAAGCCAAACTGAAGGTCCTGTAGCTTTGTTAATTCCTCTCCGATTTCGGTGGAATCTTTACCAAATCGTAGAATCATGTTTCGGAATGTTAGACTGAATTTTGGTTCCCAAGAAGAGCTGAAGGCTTGATCATTATACAGGAAAAAACATAAGTTATTCTTCCACCCTTAACTTCTTGAAATGAGAGGTAAAACTAAGCTTCATTATGTTTTGGGTTGAAGTGTGTTGATCTCTTCTCAACAAAACGGTATTTGATTCACGTCAATATCTTCTTTTTAGGAAAAATACAAATGTTTTCAGGAAGGAAATATAACGAGTTGATTAAATTTCTCAAGCAATCTTAAGGAATTGCCTCAAACTCTCCTTGAAGAGCAAGGCAAGGCCAGACCAAAGACGAAAGTGTATTCATTTCATTCATCATTAATTCATAGACATTAATTTGTTGGAAATGTTCATCAAGTTTCACTCACTTTATAATATTCTTCGGCAAGAAATTCATCTTCATCAAAGCCTTCTGCAGCTTCCCCAGCGTCATGAAACTCGACTTCTTCCCCTCCTTAGCCGGACTGTGGATGCTGACCGGTTGCGACGCAGGCGTATCATGGCTCAAAATCAAGTTGCCATCGATGCTGGAAAGCCTCGGTCTCGGATCATTCTTGGCCATCTCCGACACCTTGACATTACGAATTATCAACCTTTTGTTTTTTGAATTAACTCGGCCGTTACTTGATGATATATTTTTCGAAAGCTGATGAACTGATGAAGATATCCTCAAAAAAGTATATACAAGGTGTCCCAGAACAACGTATCATAAATTCTACAGGGTGAACTAGAGACGAAAATAGGCTGATTGAAATCAACGGGCGATGAAGAACAATTTTATTTCCAGATTTTCTTCAATATTTCGAAATCCTTGAAAGGTACTGCTCTGAAATTCGTAGGGCAATTTACTATAGTGAATGTGTATGGAAAACATGTCATACCAATTCGATAAAAGTACAGGGAGTTTTGCATTATCTTTGATAAAAATTAATATAACTTTTTTGGGGTCAATTATCCCACTTTTTTCTAACTGCAGTTTCTTCATAATTTTCTTTGGTTATTGAGATGAATAACAATTCATTTTGGTGCTTCTCCATACTACTCGTTTATGATGTTAGAATTATCATGTTTTGCTTGTTTCTTTTTTGCTTTGGTCCTTCGAGCCGGATCCAATATGTTCGATGCTTTGGTGATGAGTGGACTGTATATTTATGATTGTTCATGAATTGGTTTGAAACGAATGCAAAAGGAAAATTCGAGTATTTCCCTAGGGTTTGGATTAGTTATGTCGATGATATTTTTGCCATTTTTGATACAAAAATCACAGATATAGATAGCTCAATTTCCCAATTGAATGCGAAAACAACGGTCAATTACCACTCTTAGATGTTCTTGTGATCAAAAATGGCGAAAACAATTCAGATTTCGATGTTTTTGAAAAATAAACTAACACACTTAGATACATAACTAATGACTCCAATCACTGTTATCTACACAAAATGGCAAGTTTGAATTTCCTTGTACATAGACTGGTTTCATTTCCTCTGAGCAAAAAAAGATTCAATGTTGAAAGAAGAGTTGTTTATAAAGTGGCTGGCGTCAATGGTTATGATATCAAAATAGTAGTTGAATTTATATGTAGACATACATTTAAGTTATCACTCAGGAATTCCACGACTTTTCAAGCGGATAAAAATGAGAAAAATCCCAATCCCAAGTACACAAGATTGATGAGGTTTTCAAAGCCTTAGGTTTTGAAAGCGTTCATCAGTCTGGGTCAAAGTTAGGCAATTTATTAGGTAATCCAAAAGATAAGGGGGACACACTTGAAAAGTCAGGAATATATGAAATTAGTAATGATTGTGATAAAACATATATAGGCCAAACCAGGCGTCCCATAAAAACAAGGTTCAAAGAACACTTAGCACATTTGAAATATGGTAGGTTAGATAAATCGTGTGTAGCTGAATACATGTTCAATCACTATCATAACACACATATTAATAACCTCAAATTAGTTAAGCAAGTTAATAATGATAGAAAATTAGATGCATATTTTTTTTATCGCTTGGAGCGTATGAAAGGCGATTTCTATAATGTTCAAAGAACATCGTGCGTTCCTAGGGAGGATAGGGACAGGAGGTAGGTATTGGAGTTTTTTGAACTTCTGTATAGTTTAGTAATATAACAGGTGAACTCAACCATGAATAACATCAACTTGGCGGTTATTGTCTATTCACGGTTGGGTGGACACATACCTAGTATATAAGTAGCCCACTAGGATAGAGCATTTAGTTTTAATCTTCTCCTGAAGATGCTAAGATAGTTAGCGAAATACGTGTCGAGGTGTAAAAAATCGGTTTGGTTAGTGGTAAAACAGTGTGTACCTTCCGACTCCTCGGCCTAGGCGAGTTGTCCGGCGTGTTGAGCATCTCCTTGAAGTGCAACAGATTGGACTTGACGGTGATGCTGAGATGGGTGGTGCCTCTGAGGATCTCCAGCGCTCTGGCGCTCGACATGTGCTCGAAACTGTGGTTGTTCACCTCCATAATCTGGTCGCCCCGCTTCAGGCCCACGTCCTCGGCCTTGGACTTCTTGTCCACCTTGGAGATGAAGATGCCGAAGTTCCGCTCGAATCTACGACAATTTAATCAAAATCTCAACATGTTTAGATTTCTTCTCAGAATAGTTATTGAAAATCTTTATCAAAATTCTGGATTTTTTCTCGAAATTCAAAATTTTTTTCTAAAAATTTTGAGAATTTTACATATCTTCCAGACAGAACAAGTTCTGGTATGAGGAAGAACATAATTATAAAATAATGAGTTAATAAATATCTACTTTTGTATATCTCTCATTACTTGTAACGACATGTCCCATCTTGTTATTATACTAGCTTAAGGGAACAATAAACATTTATTTTTTTATTCGTAATTTCGTTTATTAATTCTCGTTGAAAAAAAAACAATTATTGTCGTACGTACCCGCCCAGTATCTGGAAGCTGAGAGGCTCGTCCCTATTGGGCCTCGCCAGCACCACGTTCCTAATCCTAGCCTTAGCAGCGCACGCAATATTGAGCAGCCTCAGCTGCCCCACCATCTTCTCATCCTCCAAGCCCTGCTCGAACGTCTCCAAGAACTCGATCATGTCGTGATCGGTCTCGAAGTCGGTGAAGTGGTTGTTCACCCAGAGCAACACCACTCTGGTGACCCGATCACGCACCTCGGTGTCCTTGAACCATTCCAACAGCTGGTCGCACACGGAAAGCGGGCTCTGGATGAACACCCTGTGCGTCAGCAGGAAGTCCTCCACGTAGGTGGGGTCGGTCAGCGAGTTCTCCTCGATCAGCTGCTGCATCAGCCGCTCGGCCGAAGCCCGGATGACCACGTGACCGCGGCGGTGGCTACTCGGCTCGACGGAGCCTCTCAGCTCGGTCACCATCACCAGCTTGCCGTCCTCTTCGTGCCTGCGTACGGAGTGTGTCTTTTTACTTACTTTTCAATCATATACCTACTAAACATATACGGATTCGCGAGATTCACGAAGTGGGCGACATCTAGGTTACATAATACAAACTTCAAACTGGGGAAAACAAACTGTTGTCTATGGACATTGCATTCAGCTTGCTGTAGCTGAAGTCAAACTCGTCAATGACATAAAGTGTTGGCACTGTTCGTAGTGATGATGGTTGAGTTGGTTAATTTTTTTACATTAAACATTTTTTATTAGTTTAGTGAACAGTGAACGGGTGAAGAATTGGAGATAGTTCAAACAATTCAAACAAATTATGACGAGCATATCAATTGACATATAAAAGAACAGCTACAACATGTTTACAATACCCAGATTGTCCTGCTTTGCATGAACAAATACAAATTCATTGTTCTACAGGAGTTCCTTTGGACCCCCACTTCAATTTCACTTCATGTGGGGAAGATTTCATCGTCGAAGTTTGTAGATAAAGTGCAAAAATGTGCCTTTTGTTGAAGTCTTCTGCCTCACACAAAATCACATGATTAGCACGGAGAACTGCTCCTTCCACTACTGGTCGGCTTTTTTCGTCTAAATAGAGCAAAATATCTGCCAAAAGAACATCTCTACAACAGGCATTATTAGCGTTTTCGATCGAATATTGACAATTAATGTCAAGAAATTCAAAAACTTATCACTCTTATCAGTACACAGTACACAAGCTAATGGCACTAATGTGATCAAGTGAGGATTGAGTTTGTTTTCCCCCAGTTTTGACGTGGCTTTGACATGGAACGATGAAAACCGAGCGCCACCCATATATGTATAAGCTGCGAAAATTGGAATTGTTTCCGAAAATTTCAAGAAAAAAGTATGAATTGGCATATTCGAAAATTTCATGGAAAAAAATACAGAAATAAAATCTTTTTCGGAAAGTGTACTTTTTGAAATACTTTGAGGGACTAGGAAAAGCGTCTACTCTTTGGTCACAATATTCAATGTGGCATAGTGCCACATTATGAAATGAATACCAATAAATGTAAAAACTTCACAAACGATAAGATTTCCACAAAATTTATTAAACACACGACATGTTTCGTTAACACAGTAGCTTCGTCAGGTGATATACTGCTACTGTGTTAGCGAAACATGTCGTGTGTTTAATAAATTTTGTGGAAATCTTATCGTTTGTGAAGTTTTTACATTTATCATGGTTTCCATCAGGTAACGGCTGAGTCAATTCAAAATTTGAATACCAATAAGTTACATTACTTGGATTCTTTGGATAAGTGCAGTTGTAGAAAAAGTATAGTGTGCAACATGTGGGGAAAACTACTTTCCCCACTTGTTGCACAATATACTATTTTACTTTTGCTTTCAATGTATCGCAGAATATCAGTTTTTACAATACATGCAACAAAGTTTCGGAGAAAAATGAACTCCATATGCATTAAAAAGTTAAAAGGCTCCATACCTCCGGGTGTTCTCTTCGCCCTGGTGCAGGATCTTGTAGTAGTCGGACTGCGTGATGCAGACGAACTGACAGTCCTCGCACTTGGTGATCATGACGCCCTTGTGATACAGTTTGTCCATGGTGGGCAGGATGCCGAACGCGTCGCCCATGTACAAGGTTTGGCTGGGCTCGTCTGGTATCACGATCTCCACCGATCCGTTGACTAACACGGACCAGGAGTCCAGTTCTTCGCCGTCGTTCATCACTACCGTGCCGGCCTTTTCTACCACGGCGAATACCATCACGGCGCATAAGGCCCTTCTTACGGCTAACGTCATGTTGGTGAATGCCTTCAGGTGTTGCGTGAATTCTAGGAGGGCTTCTATGTCGTCCTCGGTGCGTTCTGCAGGCTCCTTTTCTAGGCAGTCTCTCACTCTGTCTCTAACCGTCAGACTCTGGAAAAACGAAACGATGGTTAGAGGTTAACGCTCACCAGTCACTGTTGGCGTCTAGCACTCTCAGATACGCCACTGACCAGTGGAATTTGATCATGTCAGTAACCGGCTATCACAGACATGTGCAAATGCTGATTCGTTAGTACTGACGTGTAGTCGAGCAGCGAATATGCATGTTCCTTGTCCGTTTATATTTGTGATTGTGTTCGCGTTTTTTGAATTGTGACCATAATCTGTCAGTCACCCTGCTAATACAGCCTTAGGAATATTAAAAATGAGATAGAGCTATGGAAAAAAATGTGGGCAGCAAAACAAGAATCGATCAAACTGAGTGGAAATCCTCAAGGAAACTGAAGATTTTTTCCTGAAATTAAGAAGACTTAGAGTTGAAAGGTCATTTAGTAGGCTTATGAGAATCAAATCCTGGTTGAGGAGCACCATGTCTGAAGCTCGACTCAATGGCCTTGCAATGATGAGTTTACACAGGCAACACATTTTCAAAAACTTGAACGATTTCGTCAACAAAGTGATTAACGAATTCGCAAAAAAACCTAGAAGACCATGTTTCAATTGATTTTCTATATTGTAAATTCCCTAGTACACTAACAAGAAGATCCACCTCCATATAAATGTTGTAGACAAATTTGGACTGTTCTTGGCTCATTCGTAGGAAGCGTCAGCAAAACTCAGCAAAACATGGCTGATTTTTCTATACTCTCGGAATCTGCTCGAGTCCATCTATCTGCAAGTTACTGAACTATCCTGGGACATCCTTCATCAACTATGATATTCTGACTTACAAATAATAAAAATATTTTAATCCGGCCCTGTTGCGACATTATTTCTTGCATAGCAAACATCTGAAAATAAACTTCGAATATATTCTGCATTACCGATCTCTACCCTCCGCTACTCAATTAGAAGTAGTTCACCTTGTCGCTCATAGATACCGCTACCTACTGAAAAGAATTTCTGTCTTATTGCTCTCATGAGGATGGTTCAGTTTCATAGATAAACTACACTCTCCTAGATGGCCAACGCACATGTTAAAATCTTGTTCCGTTTTCGCCATCAGCGCCTCTGGTGTTTGGTGGTGCAACTATTTCGAATAGCGGGAATTTTAAATAATTTATATTTTAAAATATTTCGCATAGAGAAAGCTTTCGTAAATAGTGGAAGAGATGAAATATCATAAGCACTTTATGCTTTCATCTTTTCCCACAATTTACAGACACTGAAATGAAAATGGTTGGTAAATGAGAGCAAATCTAAATGCATACTTTTTTAAGTAGGTCATACATAAACACCTGCAATGACCACAATGAAATATAACTTAACAATTATCACAGGATCTTCAAACACTTTATCCTCTCCAGAAACCTGAGATTGTCTCTCCTGAAATTTGGAAAACGATGTCAGGTGAGAAAATATCAATCTCATATCCTGATACTGCACACTAGTTCAGTCTCATCATAAACTTCACTATTGTTCGAATCAAAAGTAAACTATTGTTGATTGATTTCTTCAATTATGATTGAAAAATGAAGTAATGGCCATGAATCGAGAATATAGCCCTTTGAAACGAAAAAAAAAAACACACACTTCTAGACGGGAAAAAATCACAACATTCACAACAAAGAAATTGTTCTAAAATTGTTCTATCCGTCATTCGGTTGCCCCCTTACGAGCAACCCTCAGAAGTCTTCGAAAGTCTTGTGCGAGCAAGGAATGACGGGGGCCTTACCTTTTAACGTGTGATCACTGTGATCCCAAACACTTAAACACTTAAAATGTCAATCGTCATTCGTCAAATATGATGTATGAACGTTATTTTGAAATCAATGCGCACTATAACAGATCACGGATCCTTATGTCAAATGGCCAACTATTGTATGGTGGTTAAACTAGAAAATGGAACAAGGTCGGTCCATTGAAGTTGGGGGTCTATAGAGTGTTCAGATTCGACTTCAGGTCGGAAGTCAGGTTAATGTTTTTGTGATTGTGAGTTTGAAACGCTAAAAGAGCACAATACCTGGTATCACTTCGAGTAACATCCAGGGTGCTCAAAAAACAAAACCCTTATTAATTACGCCGGTATCCAGGCCGGATAATGACGGATTCTCCGTAATGAGGGCTATGACTGTATGTCGTAAGACAGAGAGAGATGGATGGTTCATCTTGTTAGTGTAACTTAAGATGTGTAGCTGTAAATAATGAAGGCTACATGCCAAAAAATCTACTTACGTCCATGCTCTCCGCCAGATCGTCCTCCTCGTCGCTGTCGACGAGACTCTCGACCAGGCCGGTCAGGTCCAGCTCGCTGTCGCCGTCGAGCTCCGAGTGCGTCGAAGCCATCGTGTCGCTGCCGCTGTACGCCGAACTGGTGTCCGACGAATGGGAGCCGCGGCTGCACTTGTGCTGGTACAGGCCGGCCTGTCGCGGCCCGTTCGGCGCGTACTGCAATGAAATAATAATTTTATTCACCAATTTTGTATACAACATTTCAGGTTTTAATTTCAAAATCTAGAGGTAAATAATTGAAGTAAAATAAAACTATAAACAAAAATCACATACAAATAGTCATAGGCAATATACACGAAGATATAGAAAATGCAGATTGGAAATATTAACGCACTTAAGTTCATTAAAGAATGGGAAGGTTTCCTTAAGACGAGTTTTCATAAAATAAGTTCGGAACTCTCCAGTTTTATGTCCACGCTGTACAGAACAGCGACCGATAAAGTCCAAGTCGTTTTCATTTTCGAATTAATGCAATTTCTAATTTTCATGGCGGCAAACGGTGACGTACATTCTGAATCTAGTCTAAAAATAGCTGATGGTGAAGAATGTAGCTAGCGGATAGCTAACGAATGAAAAAAATAGAAGACAAGTAAAAAGAGAAAACACAAACAAACATAACAACAAATGCACTCGGGGCAGGAATGCAGAGGGTAGTTGGCTTCATTCTGACAGGTTATGGTTTTGTTATTTATGTATTGAAATATATCGAATAGAGCTCGATCTCAAACAAAATATCATCAAATCGATGAATCACTATAGGCTACATTCAATGATACTATCGTTCCTACTGCCATCGGTCAGAACAGAATGAAGCCGACACCCATGGCTCCTTCCTCTTCTTGTGCCTGTCAGTATTTTGAGTGGTGTGCTGTTGCAAGATATAAACTGCAACTTTCCTTGAAAATAGATCCGTTTTATTATATGAACGAATTCATTAGCAAAAAAATGACTTACAAGTTATGAATAACATACTGTAATATAACGATAGTGAAAAATTATAGATACTATTGCGAAATATCATAATTTATCTCTATTAGTAATCAACTTCATTCAGCCAATGAGAGATTTATAGGAATTATTTATAATACTTGACAAAGTAGGATTGAAGAAATCCCATTGCTGTTATGTATTCAAAAAACAATTTCTGGACATTTAGACATATTGATGATGTCGGCAACGTCGTACTGGCACAGGGAATCGTATTTCAACTCTGTGTGAATGTGAATTTTCAGAAAGTACGTCATGGAAATGGTGGAGGAGCCAAGTTCCTCTTTTATTCCTTACGAAAAAAAGAAAAAATAGGTATTTATCAATTTTTTACAAACTCAGTGAGATACAAACAACTATAGGAAACTTCCCCATTTGTCTGTGAGTATGCATCCATCTTTGATTATTCTTTATGAAAATTTCGCTTGTTATATAGAGAACAAAATATATACCAATATGAATATAGAGACGCCACCTACAATATTACAGAATATCGTTCAGTTTTACAATTTTTTAATGAAAATTCATTCCATAAGACACATGGTAATATGTACATTTTTCAAAAGTAGATACATATAGACAATGGTTCCATTGAAGTGAATATAAGGGAGATAGCAACTAAATAGAATCAATAGTTGATAATGCTGTGGAATGGAAACAATCCTATTTAGTTTACAGAGGTAAGGTCGTGATGCGATCTTAGCATTAGATCACTTGATAAAAATAAATAAATTAATGCATAGAAAGGGAGTAAATAGTTATCTGAGAAATGTTAATCTCGAATTAATAGTTCATTCTAATGTCTACCATCCTTTAAGATAATAATATGGTATTCTACATCGTTTTCCTTCATAATTAAGAAATCTGTATATGATTCGAAAATCCGTAGGTACAGGGTGGGTCAAATTGGGCAATTTTAAAGGGAATAGGACTTTCCCTTTATGAGTGTCCAATTTGGCCCACCCTGTACAGCTGTACAGAACTCTTGAACAGATCAAGATCAGTCTTCCCTAAGGTTTCTCGAATTTATTTTCATTTATGAATTCAGAGGGGGCTATAATTTTGATTTGTCGATATTATAACATACAGAGTGAATTGTTTATATTATTGTGGGATATGCTGCGATTAATTATTAATCTTCTATGGATAACAAATTTATAGTCTATGCCGAGGTCTATGCTATTTTCCAATAAATGTAATAGCGAACATATTTTCTCAGAATGAGATATATTATCTTTAGATACATAACAGGTATAATTCAACAATAAAGTAATTGCTTTCTGTTATTGAGATATTTAAACAATGATTTTCTCATTTCTCAAAAAAGGGCTATATAATCCTCGAAAATTAACTCAGGTAGTACATTTTTTTTCATCATGATGAAAGGATTATAAACTAAGTACTTACAGCGTCTTCAAACATGATGTTGATACTTCTATGTTGAGGATGATCCATCACTGGCGAGTTTTGAACTCTCCTGCTTTGATCTATATCTGGATAGTCAATCTAGAAAATCATTCAAAAGTATAAACACAAACTATCACGAAACCACAATGCTCCAGTGTACCTCTTCTCACATTTTTCATAAAAAAACAAAAGCTTGTCGATCGGTATTGCTCATCACAATATCGTGAAATGATTCGATCACTGAGATGGAGTTCCCACGAGATAAATGAACGATAAGGGCTTATCTTGAAAATAACATCACCGCTTAATAAATAATGAATATGCAAGAATGCAAAACTATCGTCGAAATTTTCACACGTGTATCAAGCCAATAAAAAAATAAAACGATGAAAGCCACTATGCTTTATCAAAAAATATGAAACCTTTCCACGGTTATACAGGGTGAGTCATGGCTAACCAGCCATAGCCTAATGGTATATAGAGGAAGTCAAGGTGAGTTGATATACAGGGTGTTTCAAAAAAACCTAACCTAACCTAACCTTGCTAGGGTATGTAGAACATTGCAAAATAGGTTGGGTTTGCTCAGTAAAAAAATGTCGTAACGCCATCCGTTTTCAAGATACAAGGTGTTGAAACAATATTTTTTTTACACATTTTTTACGATTATGTTGAAACTACTGGCAACATTGTGATGAAATTTTGTTTGGATGTTTCTTGGAATATGACACATCGCATACATTTGTTCATATCTGACTCTCATAGAGGTTCCTAGTTATACGGTTCGTACTGAGTAGTTTTGAACATAACTTTTTTAAGGTTAGATTTTTCAATCCAAATTTGATGTGAACTTGAACATCATTCAATTTCACACCAAAAAGGTACTCCTGGTGAAACTCGATACTGTGTTCCGTTCTCGGAATATTTCGATTTGAAAATGATGAAGTGATAATTGTTGCTGATATAAAGCTATGTATTAGAGAGAATATTATGAAAAATTATCATCTATTTATTAAAAACCGAAAACAACAATACATTTCTGATGCTAAACTTATTGATTTAACAATGAATCACAAGAATAACATCGAAACAGATTCGACTAAGAACATGGATTTCACAGTTTTGTTGTATTTTGAGCAGATAGTCTATGCTACATAGGTAAATTCACGTCAAGAGTTATAAGACATAATTAAACATCACTTAAATGACCTAACAGCTGATCCTCAACTGTTCAGAAGAATAATACATTCTTAAAAAAAGAATATAGAATCGTGTATTCCTCGAAACGTAGGACATTTTGAACACTTACTCTAATTGATTCAATATTTCATGTTTCTAGTCATATATCTCGTAATTTTCAACTTATGATTCTTTGTTCCATCAATAACTTCAGCACAAGAATAATTTTATTGTTTCTGAACCTGAATAAATAGGTAATTGAACTCAATAAAATTCATTTTGTACCAGCATCATTACTACTCCATTATTTTCAAATCGAAATATTCCGAAAACGGAACATAGTATCGAGTTTCACCAGAAGTACCTTTTTGGTGTAAAATTGAATGATGTTCAAGTGCATATCATATTTGGATTGAAAAATCTAACCTCAAAAAAGTTATGTACGAACCGTGTAACTAGCGCCCTCTATGAGAGTCAGATATAAAAACAAATTCATGCGATGTGTCAGATTTCAAGAAACATCCATACAAAATTTCATCACAATGTTGCCAGTTGTTTCAGAATAATCGTGAAAAATGTGTAAAAAAATAATTTTTTCAACACCTTGTATCATGAAAACGGATGCAGTTACGACATTCTTTCACAGAACCAACCCAACTTATTTTGCAATGTTCTACCTAACCTAGCAAGGGGGTTAGGTTTTTTGAAACACCCTGTATATGTGAAAAAATATATTTCACCTATTAGAAATACAGGGCATTATTTGAATTCGGTACGAAACTTTGAACGTTTTTTGAAAATTAGGTACTTATTTCCATTTTTGAAAGGTCTCTTCAAGAAAAGTGAGTCCGGTCCTGGAATTCTTCATCATCAAATAGAGCCTCTTTTCGATATTTTTTCACTAATCCGGTCAAAGTGTGCCGTACAAATTGAAAAGCTACACATGTAGTGTTTTTCCTATTCGTTCTGATTCTGAGGACAGTTTTTCGAAAATACGATTCCGAAAGTCGATTTTTTGACATAAAGAAAATTAGTTTTCCAAGTCCGGCTCTGGAATTTTCCTTCCATAGTAGGCCATCGTGTGGGGTGTCAGTAGAGGTAAATTGCTGGTGAATTTCAGGCGAAAACATCAAGACGTTCCTGAAATATCGTTCATCAAAGTTTCGCCCCGAATTCAAATAATGCCCTGTATTTCTGTTAGGAATAGGCAGCATATATTTTTTCACATATATATCAACTCATCTTGACATCCTCTATCCGCCATTAGGCTATGGCTGGTTAGTCATGACTCACCCTGTATATCAAGTTTCGTTGTTGTAATACCTGTTGTGTTTCACAGGAGGTGGAATTGGGCCAAGACAAAGAATTGCTTCTCCTCAGGGAAAGTTTGACTTTTTGGAAGTTCGCAAAAGTGGAACTTCTCCTTCTCAATCCGGCCACGGAAATTCTTTTTTCGGGCGGCTGCCTTTCCAGCTCCATTGCTGTTTTAGCCGCGTGTTTCAACATTATGACAAGTTTTTCCTGGACTCTGCCAAGTACAAAAACTATTAATAAGTGTTATATTATTTGATAACATTGACCATATTTTTATATGAACACAAAAAGCTGTTGAAATATCATTATTACTTTACAGGGTGTTTCAGACTTAAATGTACATACGATACTTGCAGAAAGAGGACACTGACTATTTCAAATCACCCCCCATTTATGTGGTTTTGTCTAAATCTTCATCTGGTCATATTTTTTCAACCACTTTGTATAACCCATTCATACTTGGTAGAGAGATTCCATATATTTCTTATATAACACATCAGAACTGAAGATGAATCGAGATCAGATTCCAGGTCCGTCTTAAGAAAAAAAAACAGAAAACTTCTTCAATTTCAAAAACAACACTCTGAATGGCAAAATGTTATGGATCTGTTTTGATATTTGGAAAGAGCGAGAAAAAATAAATACACACTTTTCACGAGCGCGCATCCAATTTGACAGAGGGTTAATTATTATGTTATGAAATATTCAGCTCCATTTCGAGGCATTTTTATTGAACTCGTAATTCAAAATCCAATGTCAATACAAAAAATAACAGTCTTGACAGGTTTGACAGAATAATTTGTCATTATTCTTCACTAGTGTGTCAAGGCATAATTATTATCACTTTGAAATGTAACAACCCAATATACAAGCACCAACAATTATGTTAACGTTACCAATAATATCACACTAGTCATTATGAACTGTCAGAATATCAGATTTTTTTGCACAGCAGCCAACTTTACTCAATATAAGTGAAATATTTATATATACCAAGTATGGATAGATTATACAAAGTGGTTCAAAAGTTATGACCAGATGAAGATTTTACCAAAATCAAGATATAACGTCCTGTATCTCAGTTATAAAAAATGGTAGACACATGAGTAGAGGGTTATTTGGAATCATCAAAGTGTCCTCTACCTACGGGTATCGTATGTACATAGGTACATTTAAATCTGAAACACCCTGTATATATTTTCACAAAAAACAAGTTAGCTCTCCCATCCATTTTGTTAATACTTTTCTTATAATCATTTTGATGGTATCATGTGACTTCAGAAGAGTTCAAGTGGCTTTTCTAACGAAATCCAAAAAACATTACTTTCACACACACTTACATGTGACTTTCGAAATCTCTGAGTGACACCTCTGAAATTTCAAGTGACTTACAAAAAGTTCTTCGAGAGTATTGTTTTCTTCGAAATGCTTAGTTACTTCTATTGATATCCAACATTTCCAGACTTCCATACATTTTTAGTCTTAGTTACTCTCAAAGGCTAAGTGATTTCCATGGATTTCCATAGACATTCATAAATTCCAAAGGTTTCCAATATGGTGTACTCAAGACTCAATGAAATAACCACTTACATGTATAGCATTTCGGGAACAAAAAACTTTCATGAATAAAAAATAATCCATCGCAACTAGAATTTTCTTCATTATAGAACTCACTGAGAAACTCTATAAAAGAAAAAGATGAAATGGCTATCTTCAGAAATCTCAACTGTCATTCCATCACTAGCAATAAAAGAAAAACTCGACAAGCTAATAAAAGCATAGTCAGCAGATATTTTTGTCGTCACCCTCAAGAACTTTGTCTATAGAACAGCAAAGCTTTGGAATTCTTTTCCAAAGCAAGTATTTCCAAGAACTTCCAGAATTCGAAGAAAAAATCCACTACCTTCCTCTAGTATAAAATGAATTTGTGTCAATGTTATCAGGTCACAATTTTATTTTCGCTAAAGATATAAAGCCGGATGTCAGTTCAGTACACACCTTTATACCACAAGAAAAAATATTGTTATTTTCATAATTGGAAAAAATATGTGATATAACTCGATCGATTGTGTGTCGCTACTGTAATAATGTTGTGTGTTTTCTTCTTCTTCATCACCGAAATAACGTGCAATAAATATACAGGGTGAACTAGTTGTCAAAATAGGCCGATTGAAATCAACTCACATCTATACAAAATTGCAATGTTCAGCCGTGAGAGGGCGACTAACAATTTTATCTTCAGGTTTTTTACCAATTCAACCGATATACAGGGGGAGACAGGTATTTTACCTCCAGTAGAATTCATTGCACGTTATTCTGGAACAGCCTGAATATGAATTGACTTCCTAAATATACTAGAATAAATTAGTAGGTAGTAGTAGTAGTAGTAGTAGTAGTAGTAGTATATTTCCTAATGATAGAAAATTAATATACGATTCTCAAAACGAGATGAGAGTACTTTTGGTACAAAGAACAACTATCGTACTATCGATCTATTACGCTTGGGGCTTAGGAATTTTGAGGTTAATATAGTTAATTGAAACCTAACGAAATCCGTTGATTATTTGAAAACTCATTATTCATCTTTATTTTTGACGTGGTATATTTTC